GGTCACTTCAATATTATTAAAAATTGGAGTAATATAACCTAAAGGTATTCGTTTAGATCATATCCTAACTCCATGTTACGTATTTTAAAAGTTATAAATGAATACCATTTACATTTATTGCTATCGAAAGGATTGATCAGCGTTAATTTATGAAACCGTTCTGAAACTCAGTTAATAAATTATAAAGAATTTTATAGTATTTATTTTGAATATCTCAGAATCAACTAACTTAATTTTTGTTTGTTTCTTTCGAATTAACTAACAATCTGTGTTGTTACATACTCTTATCCCTATCGTTCAGTTATTTTTATCTTGAAAGTATTTGTACTCCAGTTTCTATATTTTTTTTCTCTCAGTAACAAACGTAATACTGACAAAAACAGGAAAAACAACTGAATTTTTGTTGTGTTTTTTTTTCAGTTAGGCAGATACTACATAAAAATATCATTTTATCGTGATGAGTTTTAACCAAATGATAACTGTAGCCTATTTGTTAAGAGAAAAAAGAAGGGGGGAGAGACGAGGAAATACTAAACACTTTTTTTTACTTTCTCAACAGTTTATTATCTATAACTTGACAGTTAAACGCTACTTGTAAAAAGTAATTTATATTTACATTTTAACTAAAAAAAATATGAAAAATGGCAATTAATATTATGTTTGATGGAATTGACTATATCGCTATATGAATAGTTAACGTAAACACGAATACAATTAAATATACCTGTCATAAAACTAGAAGAAAAAAAAGAATGGAAGAATATTTTCATTAATTAAATGTTCAATTATATGCTTTCTAGATTTAGTTATTTCTTGGTGTATTTTTTGTACAGGTTATAAATGATTATCTCATTTATCGGTTTCATTAATAACTAAAGAAGAAATCGGTAAAAAATAGTTTGTATACATTATTCATATTTAATGAAATGAATTGATTCAACAATTATATTCTGACAAAGTAATTAGATCCTGAGTTCGAACCTCATAAGGCGATGTCATGTTTGTGCACTACTGAGAAGTTCCATACTAGAACGAAATGACGTCCAATGCTTCAATGTTTTCCATGATTTTCTATAGCTTCAATTGACTCATGAATTCAACTATTTAATTAGTTGTGCTAGAATAACTTGGAAGTTACAAGGAGAAATTTATAAGTAACACTGTCTATCAATCATTTATTCAGAAATTTCCTAAATTTACTTTTATACTTTACTTAGAAGTTAAGTATTTACAAGGAAGAGTTAATTGTCAAGTTGTAAAGCAGAAATGATGCCAAACGATTTTGATATGAACTGTTAGAAAAATCAATTGATAAAAACTTGTTACTTATTGTTTATTCAAAGTGGATATTTAAGCGAATTATATTTTTTCACAACACATATAGTTAGCAATGTCTCTTACTATAATACCGTAAACATTTTTTCAGGTTTACCGATATATACTAATACAGATGAGCTTCTGTATAGAAATATCATGGTACAGAAATCAAAATCTACAATGAACTTTGAAGCTCTTGTTGATCATATCCAAACATATTTTGAGATCAAATTCCTTGTATAAACTATGATTTTGCTTGTTGATAAAGAAAGAATGTATGATTTTAAGGTCAATACTCGATTTTTTAATGATTAACTTGTCGATAAATCTGTTACATTTCTCAGTAGCTTAGAATTACCCTTCAGATAAAATTAAGTGTTTAGAACTATGTAAAGTTGTTAGGAACTAACTAATATAATTACCACAAACATCCTACGAACTAAATGAATTTGAAACATCGTAAACTATACCAAGAATACGGTCAGTAAGAAGAATACACGTTTTATTGCAAACAAAACTTTTCGGTGACTGAATATCTAAAAAATGTTATTTAGCACTTAAAAGATCTTAACCGACCACATGGTTTATATTAAAAAATTGCATTCATTCTCATCCGTTGTTTTCAAACATTTCTCAGAATCAAAGTCAACTAATAAAATAACCGAAGTGATTTATAAGCAGAAATGGATTGTAGCTAGCTGTGAAATTCAGGACGCGCGTTTTGTCCTATTCGGGACTCGTCAGCCAGCTGTACCGGAATTTCAGGTTTGATATTCACTCCAGCACCAGAACTAAGTGCCGTTTGCTTCAAATGCCATCACATTATCCACTTCGAGCCTCAGCGTGAACATTAAATCTGAGATATCAGTATAGATGGCTGATGAGTCTTAAATAGAACAAAATGAGCGTCCTGTATTCCACTGCCAGCCACTATCCATCTTTTCTTATTATGTTTGTGACTTAAGACTATATTGAGGTGATTCGCACAGGATGCATATATACCCATAAGAGACTGATTAATTATAGATCTAAATATCATTAAGAAGATTCAACCATTCAATACACTGAAATGTTTGTTTTTTAAGTAATCTTAGTTCAGGAAACATTTTTTCAAATTAAAAAACAAATCACAAAATTTCATCAAACTCCAGATTAAAACAAAACAATTTTGAATGTTATGCTTCAAGTAATTTCAGCAGTTTTACGTTTCAATAAGTTTAGTTATTCACGACTAAATAAATAACAAACCAGTACCCTTTGATCATTTTGTCTAATTTATTATAAAAAAAGGGCTATGACAACAGTATGTTTTACTATTTAGTTGAGGAAAAATACTTTCAAAATACAGGAGGTTTTAATCAACAATTGTCTATGAGTTCTTGATAAATGAAAACGTAATAAGATGAAAAAGAAAAAATGAAACATCTGACAATTGTTAGCTGCCCTAAAAAAAATCATTACTGTCTCTTAATTTTATGAGATGAATAAAAATTTTTGTTTTTCATACTCTGAATTCTCCATGTTTTGAGAAACATATATCAACAGTGATATTTAATGATCATTAATTGATTAGAGTTGGTGATACGGATTTTGGCTTACTGATTCGAATATGTCGTGCTTGTCGAAATATGTGAAGTTTCTTGATTCGATTTTCCGTGGCATGATGAAGGCACAGAAAAAATGTGTTGACACACTTTGGTTCCCATTTTTTCCTTTTTCCAGAGTTCCCATATAAATAGAACATTGGTTATTATCTTTAGATGAATCTTAATTATCAAACTTTTTTACAAAATATGATAACTGAACGTAGACAACGGTACAGTAGCTTATTTTTTATATTTTAACTACTAAGAATCAGTGGTACTACACATTAGGGACTAATGAGTTTTTTCAAACAATGTAGAATGTATCAGTTGAATTCATGAGACGATCTAAGTTAGACCACTATTGAAAACCTGGAAGTACTGGACGGCCGTTACATTCCAGTATGGGACTCCGCTAATCCTGATTCTAATAATAATCATATGTACAATAGTGACTGGTTTCAAGATGGATTTCCTGAAATTCTAGTGGGAAGCCGTGGCCAGTGGAGTTCAGCCGTGTCTGTTGTGAGCCAGTTACTCACTGAAGACAACAGTGGATGGTTGCAAAATATCGTGGATTGGTTGAAGTTAGACATTAACACCGTTGGGTGCTGGCTGGATCAGTGGTCTAGAGGCTAAGCGTTCTCACACGAGTATAAAGGTCCTGAATACGAGTCCACTGTGCGGAATCGTGGATGCTCACTGTCGAGGAGTCTCATCCAGTACTTTCAGGTCCTTAGTGGTTGTTTAGCTCAGATCAGCTCATAAATCCAATTGTTACAATACTACAATTTACGCACACCCCCATTCTGACACTATAGACTGTGGTAACCAGACTAGCCGGATGAATTGAGAAATTTTTTTACAGTTTGAAATAAATAATCTAATGAACCGTTCCAACAATGTGAATCATTTTTTAGATAGATATGTAAGATAAACACGTTCAATAACCTTATTATTAGTAAGAAAACTTATTCAGTTTGTTTATGGTTTGAATGTTCTACTATAGTTTGGTTTTGTATGTATTTCAATCATACATTACATAACTCTATCAAACTGATAATTCTGAGTTTATCAGTCTTATCAACTATGGTTTTACATTGTAATCAAGATTAGAATGAATTTCTACAATTTTAATCTTGTTTGAATATCCAGAAAAAATGGTTGACTAATTCATCCAAATCTTTAATTAAGTACAGTTTATTATATTTTCACTATATCGAAAGAAATGTTAATCAAACGCACAAAAGCCATCTACATGTTCCTTACAAATTTGTAGATACTTTTGTGCATGAAAACAAAACGATGATATTGTTGTGATTTTATGTCCGGCTTTTATCATGTGATTTATCTACCAATCAAAATGCGACTTATACAAATCTTAGAACTATGCCAAACTAATGACGTTCGACCGGTATGAGCAACCTGGCGTCCTTATTGGTCCTATGTCCGCATAGCCCGACCGCTCGATTCCAGAACACAATTCCAGCTTTCTGCAATATGAATCGAATCGTTTATTTCAGACATACTCGGTTTATATATTAACAAGACAGACCACATCGTACCATAAAATAGGAAATAACATTTGTACACAATAAATCCAAAAAGTGACTGTGAACGTGGGAGGCAGTAGTCGATAAACTAAACACAGCTTAAGAACCGTAAATCGTACAATAATAAATTGTAAATCAAAATAAAGCTTATAATAAGAGGAATATAAATACTCATAATGTAATTATTGAATAGTTATACCGTAAGAATATATAGATAATATTAGTCAATTAATATGTCTCAGAAGTTACTCGTGATTTAATTTTCGCTCGAATATAACAGATATACTTGTGGTATTCCAATTTGTGAACATTTCACTTTTCGACGTTTCACAACATATTCGAAGTTACCTTTTCAGAAAGCCCATGATATTTTTCTCATGTGAATGAACATTCACTGAAGCGTTTGTATCAAAGCATACGCCATGCGCATTAAGCAATTTGAACAGAACTGCATTATATTTTATCTAACCATTAAACAAGCACATTTTCTACATCCGATTTATTTCTAAATGTATTGAAATATTTATATTTTTTGTATTTTTTTTAGTCAGTCACATGGAAACGGACACCAAAGTAAGTCAAAACGCAATATATTTTGACATGAATTACCATTTACCTTTTATAATTTATTTAAAAAATATTTCAGTGAAACAAAAATTATTAATTTTATACTTCTATTTCAAATGTGCCATTATTTAGTGAAGATATTGATTTCATCAGTCATATTAATATGAAACTCTTAACATTTATTAATCATCATAAATGTGAATTGGATTCCATGGACTTTTATTTCTCATACAATTACTTTTATTATCCCATACTTTTATCATTTATTTTCAGTTAAGCAATATTTTATGGTTTTTCAGTTACTTACTTACACCTGTTACTCCTAATGGAGCATAGGCTGCCCACCAGCATTCTCTAACCCACTCTGTCCTGAGCCTCCTTTTCTAGTTCCATCCAATTCTTGTTTATTTTTCTCAAGTCCATCTCCATTTTCCGGCGTAATGTGTTCTTCGGTCTTCCTCTTCTCCTTTGGCCTTGAGGATTCCATGTGAGGGCTTGCCTTGTGACGCAGTTGGGTGCTTTCCTCAATGTGTATCCTATCCACTTACAGCGCTTTTTCCTGATTTCTTCCTCCGTTGGGATCTGGTTTGTTCTATCCCACAGTAGGTTGTTGGTAATAGCACATAAACAATAATTTATAATAATCATTATTTACATTTAAGTAATATTTAATAATTTCGATCGTTTTTACGGTTATACACAATAAGCGTCAGCATTATTTCCAATCACCATAATTTCAGTTTTAAATAGTTTACTATTCATCCTGTACTTTATCTTTTATGCAATGTATAGTGAGCTAGTGAATGATTTTCGTCACAGATTTAAATCACTTAAGTAACTGTAAAAACTAGGGGATGGATAGTGTTTATTTGGTCATAGTATTAGATACTAAAGAGTCTATATGGCTTGAAGCTTCAAGTTTTTAGGCAATGACTAATGAACAATAGCGGCTGTTAAATTTCAATTATGTCCAGGCTAAGTTGAATACTGTGTGATTCAATAATTATCTCGTTATATTGAGAAATGAATGAAGTTAAAATTGTAAACTATTGAATTCTAATTCAGTTTTTATTGCACGTTGCATTCACCACAATGCAGAAAACAAAAAATCTTTCGTTCAGTATTCAGTTAATGTTTACGTGTATTATTGATTTACTATGATAAAATAGCTATATAAAGTTTCCTTGATATTTTAATGATTACCAATGACATCAGTCGACAACAAAAATAATCTCAATGACACTTTACACACTAATATTTAACAAAAAAAATTGATTTTATTCTATCACATTCAAGTAATTCTTTCCTTAATTCAATTATCCTATTCATCATTGAATATTTATATTCCATTGTTTATTAGTCTTTTGTTAACCACTTAATTATTACAATTTTGTCTAGTGAAATTGTTCACAATTTTATTTTGTTAGAAATAAATACAAGAATCAATTGTGAACAAAATGAATTTATACAGACAATGAATAAAACAATTTTTGATTTGTCCATCTATTTAAAGGTATAATAATGATGAAACTTTCTAAATAATTTCTTTTCACTTTCAAAAAAAAATGTGTTCATAATGTTACATAATTATGCAGTAACTACCAAAGTAAGGAGGGGGGTATGCATATTCTTTATACATTTTCAGTCAATAATATAATTTTAATAGTTGAGATCATGAGTCAATTGAAGCTAGACCGCTATGAAAAACCTGGAAGCACTGGAAGACTGTTTCGTCCTAGTATGGGATTCCTCAGCAGTGCTTATCAACGATCCCGCCTCGCGAGATTCGAACCCAGAATCTATCAGTTTTGTGCGTGAGCGCCTAACCACTAGACCACTGAGCCGGCCAGCATCTAACGGTGTTAATGTCTAACTCCAACCAATCCACGAAATTGTGCAACATGTTAACCATTGTCTTCAGTGAGTTACTATCTCACAACAGACCTGGTTGAACTCCATTGGTCACTGCTTTTCATCAGAACTCCAGGAAATACCTCTTGAAGTCAGGAACTACTGAGCATATGTTGATTCATGTCAGAAGGGGTTTTGTGGATATTGTATTAATTTCAATGGTTGAGATCATGAGTCAATTGAAGCTAGACCGCTATGGGAAACCTGGAAGAATTGGATGTCCGTTTCGTTCTAGTATGGGACGCCTCAGCAGTTCTCATCCATTATCCCGCCACGCGAGATTCGAACCCAGAATCTATCAGTCTTGAGCGTGATCGCTTAACCACTAGACCAATCAACATAAAATGACAAAGTTAGGAGGTGTCGATTTTGTCTGTTATATATGTATATTACTTTTTTATTCAATTGATCATTTTAATGATGAAATTAAAAATTCAAATCATAAAATTGATATCAGTTAAAATACCATATAATATTAGAGGTTACAATCACTGTAAGACATAGGTAGTTAAGAATGATAACAATGAGTAACAAGATGTGAATTCGTTGTTAAACATTTCTTGTGACCTTATAAATAAGAAACAATGATAACTATACAGAGCTCTTTTGATGTTCAATATTCCAAATAATATTACTGTATAAGAAAAAACATCTGGAAGTTAAATTGAAGAATCTTAACAAATCTTCAATATTAGTAATAATTACATATTTATTGTATTTTATACTGACGTCAATTGGTGATAAATAATTTTGTTCAATGTATAAAAGAATATTCATTAGTTATATATCAGAAATAAATTTGTAGATGTCAATCTCAATGTTACCATAGTGATTACATTATTCTATATTATATGCATTCATTATATATGCAACATAAATATTTCATGATCATAGTGCATTCCTTTTTTGGACTTACTTCAAACTGAGCCCCAATCACATTTCATTTCAAACCAGTGTAACTCTTTTGATTAGTTTTCTTTGAAGATTACGTAATTCACGGATAGTGATTCTTTGCTGTTTGAAGATCTGTGTAACCGGACATTGTTCAGTTTTCTATTCTCTGTCCTATGCATTAAGTTCCATTGGATTATTATCCCGTTAGAATATCATTACAACATTCTTTTTTTTAACATTAAAAGTGTCTTATTCAAGACTTTATATTTCAACATTACACGCTGTTATCGCTTGGTATTTAAATGTTATATCTTCAACTTTTAGTCCAATACATATTTAGTTCTGTCAAGACAGTTTTGGATCACTTAGATCGATTATAAGACCATGTAAATTCACTTGAATTCATTTGCTCTGAATCTTTCACATATGGATTATTTTGTATCAATAAGATGTTGTTACTAAAATCTTTACAAAAGTCAGTTTATATGAAGTATCGACCAATAAGACAGGTTTATTTACTTTAAAAACAGAACTCATCAATACTTTTCATGATCAAACGAATTAAATTTACACACAAATCGATTGAGTGAGAGAGATTTCGACATTATCAGTCGTAAAGGACACATGCCAATAAATAGTAATGACGACACAATGGTTAATGTATCATAATGGTTGTCGCCCTAATACTGATGGCGTTCGTTGATATGTCCAATTTGGTAGTAGTTAAAACGTTTATTTCCTAGTATCAAACACACGTTAACAATAGTATCAATAATCATGGAAATACAGTCAGAAATGAACTAGAAAAATTCTTGCTGTAATTGAAAGATGGGTGGTGGAGCAAACGGAGAAACTTTATTAAAGCTACAAGTCAAAAGCCAGGACATTAAAAAAATGTCTCAGAGATTAATATTACATCAACAAAATAGTCCACGTTGGACCAAATCGTTTGAGAGCATAAGTCCAAATCTTTGCTTCTGTATTAATATATTATTGTTCTACTCGATACCTATTAAAGACGCTATGAATGGGCTTACTAAATGACCAATTAAAGGGTTGAATATAGTTATCAGGAAACCCTAAACATAGGTTTCATCCTAGTTGGCACTCATCAACAAGGCTCTCGAGTAATTTATTTAAAAGGAGTGCTAATATATGTGAGATAAAAACTCAAATTAACCAATTTCACGTTCTCAAATTTCACTACTGACATGTTCAAATGTCGACTGACCTTCTTTAGGACTGCGGTATTGACAGTTGTCCTATCAATTAGTAGTAACCGATCTCTGAATTCGTTCAGCAACAACGGATAAACAAACATGATATTCCTCATTAGCCAGTGACCAATCAATCACAACTAATAAACCTGTATGTCTAACGTATATACATTTTACATTTATAGACAGTCTTATATAATTCATTGCCAAATTCTCTGTCACGTGTTAGTAATTTCCATTTTTCTCTCCATCTTTCACTAAACTGTAATTTCTCAGCATCAACGAACTAAATCAAAACAAAGTTAGCAGTGATATATATATATATATAGGAAGTCCAAGATAGTTATCTATTTGTTATTATTTATTGATAATCGCTTTAATAAATAAGTTAACTTGTTTAAATATGTAGAAAGGCAATTGTCTTAAAAATCATTATCAGAAAGGGGTTTTGTGGATATTATAGTAATCTAAAAGTTGAGATCATGAGTCAGTTGAAGCTAGACCACCATGGAAAACCTAAAAGCACTCGATAGCCGTTTCGCGAAATATTAATTCACTGAAGACAACGGTGAATGTGTCGCTCAATTTCATGGATTAGTTGACGTTACACATTAACACCGTTAGATGCTGGCAGGCTCAGTAGTCTAGACGTTAAGCGTTTGAGCGTGAGACTGATAAATCATGGGTTCGTAGATGCGCACTGCTGAAAAGTCCCACATTAGGACGTAACGGTCGTTCAGCGTTTCCAGGTTTTCCATAGTGGTCTAGCTTCAACTGATTTATGATCTCAACTATTAAACTAAAAATTGTCTATAAAAATAGAAAATGAAATATTGAATCACATTACAAATTTTCTCTAATTAGTTAGTTATTTTTTTATATTCAAAATTATAAGTAAATCAGTATATGTGCTCCTCTCAAAATGAAATGTGCCATTATCCCAAATCATGTTATTATTTAATTCATCAGTTGGTCACTCAATTTTTCTTCTAAAATGTTTAGTAGACATCATAAGAAAATGTTTGTATGTAATAGCTTGTATAAACAAATAGGACGAGGTCTTTATTGCAACTATTACTTATAATCTTATGTTACTAGTGCATAACTTAATTAGATACATTTAACAAGCAGTAGGTAGAGAAAAAAATACAGTTTTATTTGCGTACTATTACAGAGTTTTCTAAAGCAATTTCTTTATGATATGTATGCCTATGAAATGGAAACCCATTGCTTTGCAAAACAATAAACTTAAAGTAATTTTCCTTACGAATTAACTTTAGCTTGAGAATCAATAGAAACCAAGGTGCACAAAACAACTGTCACATCCTATTTTAGAACTCTGTCAGGAATTATAGCCAAATATTTCATAGCGAGTATTTAACGACTGAACTTCATTTGGTTCTGAGTATAGCCGGAAAATTGTACTATGATTTTATAATCTGACAGTAACTTTCCCATCACGATCTCTGATGATTCTGGTTTAATCTCTCACAAATTCGTGAGTAGACACTAATAAGGTCCTCAAGCTAGAAGAAAAACAATTGTTAAGTTCTTATCAGTTTTCAATAGTTCATTGGCCAACATCAAATTGAATTATTGAACATAATTTACTCAACTCTGTGAAACGAATATCCAAAAGAACAACACGAATTATAAAGTGTATTATACATAAAGTTACCGAAATTTGCGTTTCGCCGATTACATAGTGATCTAAAGTTAAGGAGATTATTTATTGTAAAATTTTATGGATCCCTAGAATATTATCCCAATGTTCAATTTTTAGTCCTCATTCACGCTATATGATAACTATTTAATGATTTTCTAAGTTTTTTTTTTGCATTATTGGTTAGTGTGGACAATACATTTGAAAAATATATTGAAATGTTTCTATTTTAGACTCTATCAATGTCACTGAAACTTTGAAATATCCTTCAGAAAACATAAACAATAGTTCACTCTCAGTCAAATATGGTTTAAAAAATAGTTGTCAATCACCAAATGAAAGTTCATCATTTAAATTGAAAAATCATTTTCATCGATTTTTGAAATATTCATCGAAATTTGGAGGTTTTACAAGATCAGAAAATAATTCACCTGCATTATTATCATCCTCAACATCACCGGTTCACCCAAATCAACAACCACTTAAAAATGCTTATACATCTAGATACAGTGCTTGGGATCCTGTAAGTGATTAGTTAATTTTCTTTGATAATTAATACAAGCTAAACGTTATGTCATTATAATGATAATTAATTTTAGTAGTATTCCAGTTTAATATGATATGTTTGTGTTAAGTGAAAACTGTAATTTACTGGTTAAATAAACGTTAATTACTCAGCTGGTAATAATCAATGAAATCTTGATTAGTATAAATATTTCAACATTACAGCAGATCAATCATAGCCTAAATTGCCAGATGATAACGTTTCTAGCAGTAATACTAGTTCGAATCCTAGTAGACACCTCTCTTCCTTAAAGATGACATATAAATCTATACAATGGATTCCATCTATCATCAAACCTAGATTCATTATTTTCCTTCAGCATGTTATTAACATACTAACGTCGAACGTAAAAATATTTTATAAATATTTTCAAAAATATGACAAACCCATCTTTTAAGTAATCAATAATCTTTCCTTTATTATAAAGCAAGAATTTGTTCATAGTCTCAGTTCATACTTCTGAAAGTATCAACAAGTTTACTAGGTAAATATTTAATGACAATAAACTAAACTTGACGATTTACATCTTAGATGATGAAAAGTAGTGTAGTGTACCAAAAGTGAAAACGAACCAATGACATTTAAGGTTCTTCAATGTCGAAAACACAAACTAACAGTTAAAATGGGAGCTTTTGGTGTGGAAATGAGAAATTCAAATTTCTATGATAAAATTACAAAAATGAGTTTACCAAGTAGCTTCTGGGGATATGACATTCCAACAGATACATGATAGAACATGTGATATTATAAACATTTGCCTCTCAAATAGTGGTGTAGTACTTCACAAAATGTTTGAAAAATAGTCATGATCGTCGCTGGAAGTGAATTCAATGAATCTCTAGGCATGTAATATTGTGGTGTGTGCTACTGATATTGATAGATATAAATAGAATGTATCATCAATCGAGAGTGAAATACCTGGCAGTAGAAGGTTAAGAAGATCAAAGAAAGAGAACAAGAACAGAGGGTGATTAGTGTGGAAAAGAAGAGTCAGTTAAGTCTATGACAATTGACTGACAGTTTGTAAATGAATAATTTACTGTATCCTTTGCAGATGTTCTGTAATTTTGTATTTAAATACATTCGATTGTCCCCATTTGTGTTCTCGTTCAGAACAATATGATGTCCATTTACATGATTAAAATTAAGTATTTTATTTAGTTAACTAGTCGAAATTGTGGTACAGTCTATTCATTAAATTAGGTTATCACTTTCAAAATAACCGACAACAAATAAATTAAATTAGTTGTATATGGAAGCTTCCATTGATATAACGGTTAACTATCAATCCACAATGCATATATATATAGTCCATTAGCTCTTATTAAATTAAATGCAATCCTTTAGCTAATAACATGCAAACGATGTCATTTTGACCTTAATTTTTCTTGTAATAACTACTTAATACAAATATCTTTCTTCTTAAATGTTTTAACTAACCCATAGTATATGCTTTTATTTCAAAGAAAAGATTGTTTCACTAGAATATATCACTAGCATCTAAATAGTAATACTATATTTGTTTAACTCTTTGTTCCATTATTTGTGTAAAATTCTGTGGAACACAAACTAGGAAAAGACAAATATTTAAAGTAACCAAATATTTAGTGATTATTAAGCACATATTACAGTGATGATAAACCATCTTGTTGTTTGCACCGCAGTTTGTAAATTGCCAGGTGATAATGTCTAAAACTGTAATGCTAGGTGAAACATGGTTTAATCCGCCAATGAACATCAGTTTCCTTAAGATTACAGACGCGCCTAGCTGATAAATATAAATTAGAACAACATATATAAGCGAGCAATATTGTTTACGATTAGATATTCATCAAGCTGTACTCTAATATACAGTTATATTTATATACATTTACGAAATCATTAAACCAATCAAGGCAGTTTATGAGTCAATGGTAACAGTGAAATAGATTACATAAATAAGTGAAAAGTACAGATTGGTACTGTAATTTCGTATATGCATATAAATATAACTGTATATTAGAGTAAAGCCTGATAAATATCTAATCGGAAACAATATTGTTCGCTTTTATATGTTGTTCTAAATTACGAAATGGGAATTTTTCAAATGTAAATTTGCACAAAACCTAAATCTATAATTTCCCGGTGATTATCTCTGACCACATAACAATATTATCAGATTACTTTATTGATTTATTACTGATTTTCACTACAACTGATAATATTATTTTTTCCATAATTTAGAGTAATTATTACTTTGCTTTTCAGAAATGTTTCCTGTTAGTTAAATCACTCTAGATAGCATAAAATGAAACAGATGATTCAACGCTCCTTTATGAAAAAAAGAAAGAAAACTTAAAATTAAGAGTTCAGTCATATGACCACAGTCTGCAACTGACCGACCGAACAACTGAGATCATCGTTAAATAGTATAGATTTCATTTATGTAAACGATGAAACAATGTAAATGTCCACAAAACTAGTAATTTCAGATAATGTATTAAGTCACTGATTTTTCAAAGATTACAGTTAACTGATCAAAAATAAAGGAGTATCTTTGCATCTAAAGGAAAATCAAGCTAAATAACAAGCATATTGATTTTTGAAACAAGTTTTGTAATCTAATGAGATCCATACAGTAATGTTATCCCTACATAAAGATATCTACCTAATTCAGTAGAATTTTAAACCAGTAGTTTCTTACTTGATACATTTTAACGTACAGATTTATCTTAAACTGTTCTTTATCAGTTAGTACAACGTTCACGACCTCAGTCGACAACAAACTCTAGTGTATAAAACGTGTTTGGAGTTAATTTATTCTCTTATGTTTAATTGTTTGATGTTCAGGCCTACTTACAGGTTTCTTCAGTAATATAATTGATATCATAAAAAAATCGAAACAAATGAACGAATCATGATAGAGATTTCAGTTTGGAAATTCCAATTACTGTTTCATATTTTCTTCATACTTGTTATGACACCTATTCTCAATTGTTATATATGATAATTCTGAATATTGAGAAGATAAAATCTCTCAGCTTGATTGTCTTGAAAATTTAAAAACAATCATCTGTAAAGTAGGTATTTTATTTCGATGAAGTGCTGTTGTATAACTGTTACAAATCTACATCAATTGTATGATAAATGGATGGAATAAGCAATATTTGGAATAAACATGAAGAATAAAAACATCATGGTGTTGATGGAGTTTTGTTGTCTGGGCTGGAGGTTTCAGTCACGGACCTTTCATCGTTCTTCTGGACGACATCATCAACACAAACGTCAGGTAGAAGTTCAGCGTTTGAGTTTCTCCACATGTGGTTCACAGATTGTCCTGTAGACCTCGATGTTGATTGGTTCTTGTTGACCTGAAACCTTTCATTTTTGGCTTATTTATTTAGGTCGTACCTCCCATTAGTTTGATTTTCGGTCCTATGTTTGTCCATAATTTTTCCGATTGGTTAGTATATTGGGTCGATTTCAATGTGTTCGTTGATTGCTGATTAACCTGAGTGCCAAGCTTTTAAAAATTCTCGGGTGTTTTCAGAATTGCCTTTATCCAAGATCTCCACATTTTTTCAGTCAAATATGTGTCCACAGTTGATATAAGTGAGAATATGTCATGGCGTTTGACCGCTAATTGATGTTCATGCGGGCGAAGATGAAGAGGGCGTCCACTTCGTCCGATATAGTGTTTTTCGCAGTTGGCACAATTTGTTTTGTAGATGATGTTTGGTTTTTCTTCTTTTGTCATTTTGTCCTTTGGTTTGCATGGGAATGATTGCAGTGATTTCGTCAGTTTATGTGCTATCATCCACTTCAGCTACAAAACTTCTCCACCATTTCTTATGTGAACTGCATTAATTTGTCGTTGGATCAATAACATTAGAATTGTAACTTTTTTGATTGAATAACGGCTTACATTCAAATTTCCATTTCGAAAACCTGACACAGATGATATTCGTGAATGGGGACAGATTTTACTGAATTACATTTGATAATGAAAACGTTAGTCGAAAACTTAACTGAAATTCGAAGCCTGAATAACTAGATCTAGTCTATCTGAAAAAGGTATCTTTCTTTGTGAGGGACTTTTAACTCTTAGGTTTAGTTCTGTATAAATATTCTTACTATACAAAAGCATTTAACTAAAGCAATAGAACTAGCAAATACTATTATGAAAACACTCTTCTAAATTTTAAATCTTATTAACATGTTTATTCTAGTATGTAACTTACGAGGTATTACTCTGTCAAATATTTCAGACCCATCTGTTTATCCTTTACAGAATAGGGATAAGAAGTTATATGAATAAAATAAATTATGAGAAGTGAAAAGACTTTTAAGACTGTATCTTTGAACATTTCTCAGAGGACTATATAACAGTTACCATCTAATGATTATGGGCAATCAATATTAGAACGTTGATATTATTATTACAATTATGTGATGCACAAGTTGCTTCTAAAAAGAAAGTTCTATTTTATTCAGCAGCTCTATTCCAGATAATATCTTCCTAGTCATCAGGTCACGCTAACTGATCAATATATGCCTACCTGACTCAAGAATAGGAAATTATGGAATCTATTAAATGACGAGTATTTCAGTGTTTTAGGCTGGTTTCGCAATGATTCTCCTGTTTCAATTGTAATAATAAATAGTAACAATCGTAAAATCTGTCTTGTAACTTTTTTTAAGAGTTACCTTTATTTACCAGCTGTTTTGCCAATCATAAACTAACTTAAATATTCATATAATTAAGAGTTATATTTTGTTCGTAATGTTATATTTTCACAAAACTCTGTACATAACCTTAATCACAACAAAATACGTAAATCATTTTGCTCAATAAAATATTATTTATAATCAAAACTCTATTAGAGGAAGGAAACAATCACTTCCCAATAAGTTACTAATTATCCATGTCACTCTACAAGCATATGCTAACACATATCCAATGTCGAATATATACGAAACACTACCCATTGAAAAGCTTTATTTATTATTAAAACTAATCTGGAACAAATGTTTTCGACTGTAGTAGAATTCTGGTTATATATATATATATATATATATATATATATATATATATATATATATATATATATATATACAACAAAATTCTTTCTTTGTTGCCGTTTGGAACATTGAATTTTATTACCTAAGTGATGAAAATGGTTGAGTGCTACCTGAGTATATTTCAGCCTGAAAGATGTGAAATTCTCATTTTAGAATTATTGTGCAATTATTATTCTGTTTAATATTATTTTATACATTCATATGAATATTCGTTCTCTTATTCTGATTGATTACAGATGATATCATCGAGTAGTGTTAAACTAATTGATACGTGTTTAATTAAAAAATCTTCTGGCTTTGGGTTGACGTTGAGTGGAGTTATAACATTTATTCCAAATGGTATATTAGATTTCAACGTTATATCTAATTTATCGGACAAGCAAGAAGGCTTCTATCAACGTTTATTACAGATACGAAGTGTGAGTGATGATGTAATGACATATGATAATGATTTAGTCCAATCACGTGGAAAGAATAATTCGATACGACCTGGTGATATATTACTTGCTGCCGGTGGATGTCGCTTAGCTGGTTGCACTCCTGAATATGCTGTACAGTTGTTAGCCAAGGTTCCAGTAGGCAGCGCTGTTCAAGTTACTTTACTTCGAGGACTAGGAATTCCTGGAATTTATTCTGTAAACGAAGATCGTAACTATGCCAAACATCTTTATGAACCGAGATCATTCAGTTTGTGTTCTTCAATGAGCAGTTCCTCAGAATTGTCGCCAAAAAAGATAACTTCAGATTTTGAATCTCAGAACGGATCGAAATTTGCGAGATCCTACATGGAACACGTGAGTGTATTACTTAAAGAATGTAATATACCTTATTAACCCTATTTTTAAGTAAATGACCTTACTTTTATGTTACATTATTATCTCTGCAATTTAATTAAGATGTAAATTACGTCTGTTATCAAATCAGGGAAATGTATTCTGTCATCCTGTTATAATGGATCAGTAGTTAAACTTAACGATAGAAGAAATCACCACTCGAAGTAACACAAACCGTAATGAGATTCACTCAGTATTAGGTCTTGGTAAAATCCATATCATTAAAGAAAGTTCAAGCTGTGATGCATGTCTATTTGACACTAACAATTTGCTTTTCCTCATATAACATCGTCATACTGCTTATAAATGGACTAGTCCATATCACAAGACGGTAATGTAATATAAATCAAGGATAAAAAGTGTTGAAATTAATCGTATAGAAGTAGGCATCAGTATAAACATTTTGAGACACTAGTATTAAAAAAATCTGCAAGCCCTCGATAATTTAAATCACTGTCGTTTACATTCACAAAGGACAGCCATAAACTAATACTCATTATATCTGATTCATAAACCATTTGTATTTTCCTCTATTTTTTAACTATATTTACCAAATAGTGAGGGGTACCCTATTACATTTTTATCTAGTGGATGATGTTACTAAATAGGAGTCGTTTACGACCAGAGATATTATTAAACGTCAAGCATCAAAAGGGGATAAATTCGATAAAATCATAATTTCTAAATGTTCTTTACTCAGGTTTCTTTTTAAATGGTTAGCTACAAATAAATTCTTTCTTCTATTAAGTTGCTCATAATCAACAAGCATCATACAATAATCAGAAAATCAGTTGTACTACATTAAACGAAATAATTTCACAGTTAAATTAAATCTTATCACAAATATCTTGCACACAGGTAAACTTCTAGGTACATTTATCTTGAAACTTAATATTTTCAATTTTCACCAATATCTTCATGGTCTGTCATAATTTTTCAATGTATGATACTCTTATGTGATTTTGAGAAAATTAGTCAATGAAAATCCATATTATTTACGGTATCATAATGGAACATACTTCAAAACTACTGAGGATATGTGGAAAACGGTGTATTTCTTTAGAATATTGATTATATTTAGTAATTTATATCCTTTTTAAAGTCTGATAGATCATGAACAATAAATCAATGATCTTTATTAGGATCAAAGTAGTAACTCAGAACTCAAATGGAACAAATCTGAAATTTCAACTTATCATCTCATTGTTAACTGTTATGACTTCTTGACTAAAGTATTTTTACTCACTCATTAATTATAAAATATATAAATTGCTTTAAAATGGTTTAAATTGGCAAGTGTTGTGTTGATTATACAAAGTTTAAGGTTAAAAATAAACATACTGTCATATTGTACTTTCATATACCTCTAGATGTTTAGTATAAAATGATCATTAAAAAGACTATAGGGAACAAGAACACCAGTGAGACAATCGAATGTATTTAACACAAAATTACAGGACTTGTTAATAAAATCTAACAATCATAAAGTAAATGCTTAATTTGCAAAATATCCACCAATTGTCTCAAAATGACTCAGACTTCATTGTTCTTGCATTTCCATACAAATTGCATCCTGTTTCCATTCTTTACTGTTCGATTGTCTTGTCTCTTTGCTGCCAGACCTTCTGTTCACGACTAACATCATCTACTACTTATGTCAATATAACTAGCACACACCACAAGACCATAACTTTAAAGGGTTTTACTTCAGCATAATCACTATCAAATAACGATAAAACCATGAGGAATTTGTGCTTTTTTTAAAGTAAACACTTATTAAACATCACTGATTAGTGATTGAGACCTTTGTTACATTTATTAATCAACATTATTTTTATGAGAATACGTTATAATTTGATTTAGCTAGTCTAGTTTATTCATAGTCATAAACGTCGTGATATATTTGTCGTTTATCAATATTTAACAGGTTAAAATTAGTCTTATCTCAACTCTCGATATTCTCCAAAGAGCTTCTGTTTTCTTATACATGATACTGGACAGTAATGAACAAAATATAACTGCATATATATATATATATATATATATATATATATATATAGGCTATAGTTATGAAATAACTCACTGCTTTCCACATTTTGTTTACATTTTGTTTTTCATTATTATTATTGAAAAAAAGTTTTGTTCAAATTGTTGCAATTCTCTACGAACTGTAAATTTGATTAAAAAAGAAAATGATTATGGATTCACTTATTTTTATACGAATTATGGATGTTTGGTTAATCAGGTAGGTAAATGATTCAAATATTTTGCTTTCTTTTTAATAATAAAAAAGAACTACTTATATTACACATAATGAATACTTCTTGTATTAGAAAATGATCTATGTGTCACTTTTGAAATTTCAAAAGATCAGTGAAGTAAGGTAATTAGGTTTATTTACTGAATTTTGTTAGTTATGTGAGTAGAAACTGATCAAACTTTTCTTTATTTAGGATTGTTTAAAAACATGTAAAGCGATTACAAATTTTGTCTAAATATTGTGCTTTTAAGATCAAAATTGCTGAATAGGAACACACACACACAAGATACAGTATGAGAGGTAATGAAGGAAAATATAAATCACTCAATGAAATCTCACAACAGTGAATACCATGTTATCTAAACTAAAAATTTAGTTTATCTAACTATAAGAATTTTAAATAAGCACAAATGACTAATTTATAAAACTATCTATTATCATCAGAAAGGGGTTTTGTGGATATTATATCTAGACCACCATGGAAAACCTGGAAGTATTGGATGGCCGTTTCATCCTAAAATGGAACTTCTCACCTGTGCGCATCTACGACTGTAATCAGTTCATTATACCATTATCCTTTCATTCAACCATTACACTTGAGATAATTAAATCTGATTACAATCAAAAGTCAAATCATAATTAACTTCTAGATAAACATAGTTCATATGAAACATAATGTTTCTGAAGTGTATTTTATTTTATTTGTTAATCAACAGGTAACCAGAAACAACATCAATCAGTTAAATAAAACAAAATTACAACCAGGTGATTTGATAGTGAAAATTGGCAATTTTGATGTAGTTAAACTGACCAAAACTCAATTTTCACAATTATTAAATGTATACTTAAAATCTAAATCGATACAGTTTACTGTGATTCACGGTAAGTATTCAGTTTATTTATTTATTTGTTTGAACACATAAATATTGATACAAAGGGGAACCGAATACATATGCGCCACTTAAGTCACTTGATTGTTCTGCGGGCTATAATACTCGCAGAATGACCAGACCGAAGAAGATGGTTTTCCTAGGGGGCCACACCCGAAACCTTCGACCTAAAGGTCTGATCCACAAGGCAGTGGAGAAACGTAAGGAGTTGCGGTCCAATGATAGCCGGGGACCAACGATTGGTTCACATGCCGTTTTTTCCCTCAGGACACCGGAGCACATGTGCACGATTAGTTCGGAATCAGGGTTTTCCAGCTCCCCTATGTGGATCCTCCGTATCCACCAACCTCATGAAAAAAAGTATTTGATAAAAGTGATGCATTAATTTCATTGGATATTCTCATTTACATTTTGTGCATTCATTGTGAATAGAATTTTATTGAAATTACTTTTAGGTAAACTTATTATATGTAGATCAAATCTTGTTTGGTCACCTGACGTTTTAAAATCTAAGAGCAATAAACACTAAAAATGAATGTGAACTAAATAATTTTCAACAATGTTTCATACAAACTATCGACGAATTATTTGTATGATACCATGTTGGCTTACATAAATCTGTGGGGATGGCTCCCGATGAACTCATGGAAGCTCTAAGAAGTTCTAATAGAGCCGACAACATCCCATCCAATCATCTTTTCGAAGAACATTCCACAATCTCAACGTGTAGCTTTCCGACTAGAAAAATTCTAAAAACCACTGCATTTATACTGGATGATTGTGAATGATTTCCTTTTTACTGAAAACTATAAATACCCGAGTGTTTTGTATCATATTTGACATTAGATAAAATAAGATTTCTTTCCGCTCATCTTCCATCTTCTGACTTGCGGCATGGATAGTTCAAGCGTTTGAGTGATCAAGTTGTAAGCGGTATAGCAAAACTCCAAGCTCTAGATTAAACGAAATCGAATACTGAAAGAATTCTTAAGTGAGAAAAGAAATACTAGAAAACTGATTTTCTCTGACTGGTATTGACAGTTGATAAATATATTAGAAAATGTTTCGTCGATTCATCGTGTAACCGAACTATTATTTGTCAGATATTAACTTAACGGTAGTAAGTAACATTTGGAAGTTATGTCTGTCTCACCTTTGTGAATATAAAACGGTAGACTTACTTAATTAGTCGTTGTCAATAGCCATTTTTCATAATGTAATGAACAGTAAGTCTAATCAAATAGTTTTATTTAATGCTCTTCAGTAAACAGATAACTGTTTGGTAATGATACCTTTATGTCAAAACTAGGCTTTTATTTATTAAACTTCGTGGTCTTTCATCACTAAAAACCATTCTATAATAATTTAATAGTTGAATTCATTAGTCATTTGAAGCTAGACCACCATGGAAAACCTGGAAGCACTGGAAAACCTTTTCATCCTAGCACGGTACATCTCAGCAGTGAGCATCCACGATCCTGCCTCGCGACATTCAAACCCAGGACCTATAGGTCACTCACGCAAACGCTTAACCTCTAGACCACTGAGCCAGCATCCAACGGCGTTATAAATAACTCATTTCTCTACTTTCTACAATACCTAGTTTAACTATACCATTTGTTTGTTGAATAATATTTCTATAATCCTAGTCATGTCGGATAACTTTGAACTATAGGTTTTTTTGTTGATCTGAATTATTCCTCCTTTCAGATGAACATAATGAATTCATTGCATTGAATTTAATGATATCAATGACTTGTAGATACATAAACCAAAGTAATATACAGCAAAATTGAATTCCTAAAAATAATATTTTGTAAATTAATGTAAAATTTATTTTAATTTCTTTTTGGTACTCAAACGTACAATCTACGATTTAAACTTAAGATTAACCAGTTGCTATGGCTGAAGTCAAACGACAAATTCTTAATACAGACAAATAAATCAAAGGCTTATGTTTCAAATAAAGCGTTACATATAGTATATTTTTATTCTGAAGTGAATAGACTTAGCAACGTGCAAAGTAGCCTCAAATGTTATTATTGTTATTATTAATAGTATTTAGTATTACTCATATTCTAAGATGAGTCATTTCATAAGATCTTGTCTACTGGGTGTGTACACAAGAATAGTGTAAGAAATATATTTGTAGTTTTCATTGGTTACATACTACTTATATCTGTACATAACCACGTTTCACTTGCTTAATTGGTTCTTGGTATATATATATATATATTCAATGTCAAACCACACCCTGAAAATGAGGGATAGAAATAGTTTGTTTATTAGAATTGAATTTTAACAAAATCTAACCTTTAATAAAATTTGTATTTTATTCATACTTCAACTTTGCTTCATTCTATCTTTTAAAAAGTTTGCACAAGTTGTTTAAAACAAGTAAATCAAGCAAATATTCATTTGAATTCTAATAAATCTACAAATAATTATTTGAATTTAAACAAAACCACTATCATACCAACTAAAGAAACAGTAACAGAAACAAATAAAGATGAAATGATTTCTTTCTTACGAACAGTATTAAATAAAAATTGTCATGGAAAAAAATCCACAAATCATAATCTACAAACAAATGATAAAAAACACTTCTTTGAATACTTCTGAATTGAACAATGTAAATAATTTATTAATGAAGAGGACACGTGAACCATGGTTACCTAAAAAATGTATTAGTCCAGGTATAGGTAAGAGTGGTCCTTGTGATACGCCAGATTATATACCTATATCACAATTATTAAATACATCGAAAACAAACAATCATCAAATCAATAATTCTTCTGATTTATATAATATGCCACAATATGATATGTTCAAACAAAATCAAATAAACGAACAACAACAATCATTTACAAACTATAAACATTGTGATGATTCTTTATTAGATCGAATCACTTCACCTTGTTTATCTCCACCAACGCAAATGAAAAATTCTAATAATCCAATGTTAAATATTCCTGAAGTCAATACTAGTAATACAAATTGTAATAATTTCACTGAAGAAAATGTGAAAATTCGTTATAGTACAAAAGATGGAAAGTTAAAATTTGTTAAAGAAAATGCTGAACAAAATTTAGTAAGTGAATGATATCATTTTATCGTTATGGGGTTATGGAGATTGTTGAGTTTTTGATTGAGATTATAAAATTGATCAATTTAAGACCACCATTGAAAACCTGGGAGCACTAGATAGCCGTTTTAATCTAGTATGGGACTCCTCACTAGTGTGCATTCACGATCCTGTGCGTGGGGTTCGAATCCAGGACCTTCGGTATCTCACGTGAATGCTTAACCTATAGACTACTGAGCCGGCATCCAAAGTTATTAATGCCCTTTGTCATGTGTTAATGTTAAACATTTAATTCTTCGCTAGTCAACTCATCTTATTCATATGGACAACTGAAATAAACCTTTTTCCTCTCAAAGTTGTAATAATATGTGATGTTTTCTTAAATTGTAAAGTCTGTTTACTACTCAGTGACATTTTGTTGCTGATTTTGTCCCCGAAATGTTTTCTTTTTTAAATTTAAAAAGTTAATTTATAGTAATGAATGAAGCTTATTTATTGTGACCCCTAAGAAATCGAAAAGTAAACTTGTTAGTCATCTAGACTCATCAATTTCTAAATTTATTTACTTTATTTTAACACATAGATATTGGTACAAGGAGGCACCAAATACATATGCGCCAAAAAAGTCTCATTTGATATGTGTGAGGGCTGAGATACTGCCCAGGTGCCCAGACCGAAACAGGTGGTTTTCTAAGGGGGTCACATCCCGAGCTTTTGACCTAAAGGTTTGATCCACAAGGCAGTGGAGCATTGTGAGGAGATGCAGTCCCATGGTAGCCGGTGACCAACGATTGGGTCATACGCCATTTGTTCCCTCAGGATACTGGAGCCCATGTGCACCATTGGTTCGGGATCCGGTTAAAGCGCCGGACATTCGCTTTTCGTTCTCTCATTTTCGTAGACAACACCCGCCACGAGAAGGCAGTGAATAGGACTTTCCTGGCAGAGGCTATATACACGTCGCCATGTGAGAGCATTTCGAGAGGGAGAGCGGACTCTCCCCACTCTCAGCCTTACCAAGGCATTTGGGAGCTCGATTTCTAAAGCTTATAATAATAACAATTATCATTATTATTATGTGTAAAGATATGAAGTCTTATATAGTTACTTACTTGATAACAGGTACAGATAGCATAGTACTAAATTGAAACTACATTGTATAAAATTATTAGTTGTACTAAGTAAGTAAACAATATATATTAGACTTTATTAATTACCAACCGAATGGGGTGATTTTAGATAAATTGAGATAAACATTTTTGCTTAGTTAACCAGGCTTGATAACACTTTGTAAAAATCTGCAACTAGCTCCATCCTGGACTCTTCTTTCTAGGTGTTCCCAAGTGGCTCTAATACTCCTCTTGATTTGTTTGTTCGCTCTTGTGTACCTCGACTGTGCCTTAACTTTGTCTGCCCTTCTTGAGTCTTTCTCAGAGTATTAACAGAGACGCACTTTTATACTTGTGCTTACTGAGGCCCATCAAGTCCTAGAGTGTCGAATTGACTGTTTAATCGATTCCTCTCCAATCCTTTTCTACAACGGTATTTTTCTTTTTTTAATAGATATTGTAAGGTTTAATACTTATAGCTGAGATGTATGTGGAAAACACTGGGTTTGTTAATAGCTCGAAGGATGTTTTTGTTGAAATTTTGTATTGCTATCTATCCAGTTGTCTAATGTTGTTTTAGCTTAAGCTTTAGCTTTTCCAACACCTGATGGTGATCTGAAGCTATATCCGCTTCTTTCATTGCTCTTACTTCTCCCATGGACCCTCAAGTAATTTAATTGACGTGGATATTACTGATTCGGTTCTATGTATTGTAGTCTCAGGAAGCCGATGTAGCTTTGTTCATGCGTTTGTAGGGTTAGATTCCACCTATAACCATCTTTTAATCATTTAACTATATATCACAACTGATTTACGTAACTAATCTTTCAGATTAATTTCAAAGAATCGGAAACATTAAGATATCAACAGTTTATTAAATTTACATTCCTAGAGTAGTCCAAAAGGCACATAATCATTTTAAACCTTGTAAATATTATCATTCTTAGTACTGAAAATAATAAACCTATGGTCGTTTAGCTATAGTTCACTTTCTATATAGTAAGAATGTAAAATGATTTCATGACAATTCTATAAGTTGCTTTTTTGGAATGTAAAAAACAGGTGAGTGAATTCTTGAATGAAGTGTTCGATCTATAACATTTCATATCAGAATAAATAAAATAAACTCAATGTTCATTATATGAATACATAAAAGTATTTAGAGTGGAATTATTTGTCAAGGGTTTTACTTACTTACTTACGCCTGTTACTCCAAATGGAGCATAGGCCGTCGACCAGCATTGTCCAACTCACTCTGTCCTGGGCCTTCTTTTCTAGCTCCATCCAATTCTTGTTTTACAAAGCTATTATTCATAACCTCTTCCTTTCAAATACCTATTGTTTCAATAAACTATAATCTTTGTTATCAGAAGGGGTTTTGTGAATATTATAGTAATTTCAATAGCTGAAATCATGAGTCAACTGAAGCTAGATCACCATGGAAAACCTGGAAGCACTGGACGACTGATTTGTCCTACTGTGAAACTCCTCAGCGGTGCGCATCCATGATCTCGCCTTGTGAAACTCAAACCCAGGACTTTTGGTCTTGCGCTCAAGCGCTTAACCACTGAACCACTGAGCCGGCCAGCATCCAACAGTGTTAATGTTTAACTTCAACTAATCCATGAAATTGAGCGACACATCCACCACTGTCTTCAGTGAGCTACTATCTCACAATCTTTGTATTTTAGTGATTTAAAATACTGAAGTACCGTTTACAATTTCAGTAAAAGTCTTAACTGTTTATACACGAAATAACCAGTAGGTAAATTCGTCAACTTTTACAACAATATTTCATCTGGAAATTTCGGTTAACTTTCAGTTCATTAGAATTAATGTTACATGTAGTATATAATAATGATGTAGAATTCAGATATCCCAAATGTAAATCTCCAATGATCTCTATAAACATTCAAAATAATGGAAAATATCATAAACAATTTGTTAACTCTTAATGAAAAACAAGGATCCTATACATGTTTACTTAAACAAATGATCATAAGTCAAACCATTCTTGCAATTTGAACGCTGAAACGTTTTACATATTCTCCTCAATTAGAAAGAAAATTATTTATCACTTTATTTAAATATGTACAATATAAATTTTAAGAAGACACTGTTTTCTTATAAAACTCTACTTTTGTAAACATAACTTACTTTTTTCAGCCATCTATTATACCTATGGAAGACAATGGAAGTTCAGGCGAATCAAGTCAAAATTTAGTGGTAGGTGATCTGTTAGTGGCTATTGAAAATCATTCTGTACTGAGTTGTAAACCTAGTGAAATTGAAGAATTACTTAGATTAGCAGCGAAGAATAATAATGGTTTTGTTACGTTGACTGTTCGTAGAATACATTCATCAGATAAGGCTGAATGCATGAAAATATCAGGTAAGTATCAAATTCGGTGTACTTTTTCGAAATTTTGATTGTATTGATTATTAACGATTACTGTAACAAACTACTTGGTATTTTATTCTAGATCATGACAATATCATTGTGTTTGTCCTGTAGAAAAAATATTATTAAAATGAATTCAGTCAGAGTCATGACGCAGTGATTTTAATGTGACTGACTAATCTGCTTTGATGCATGTTGTTTGTGCGAGGGCTAATAATACTTCCCGTCTTTCTGAACGAATGTGAGTGAAGTAAAGTTGATGCTTGCAAATTATTGGCTGAAAGATGACTGCCATAACCCTTAAGCTATCGTTTTAAAGTCTGAGGGAAACGTTTTCAATAGCCAAGCAGAAACTTGACTAGAATTATATGAAGCTTTTAATATCATCTGAGGTTCTAAAAACAATATGTTCTGTTTTTTCTACGAATGAAAGCTATTTGTGTTCTACTTCTATCCATTTTCTTTATGATTTTTGTAATGAATAACACCAGAGACAAGAAGAAAAATTTAGTAGATAAACTGGAAATTATCTCTTTTAATGGTTAGAATGAATTTAAACTTATTCTCTCAGCTGAAGCAATTAAGCGATACCGATTCACCAGATATGTAGCGTTTCTGATTAAAGTTTGAAAGACAAAATGCGTAATATGGTTTTCATGAAAGATTTTATAAGATTTTAAAAGGTTAATATATTTCAAATTATTACTGTTGACTGGAAACTAATCTAATGTATATTAATAATCATTTAGTGTTTTATAATAAACGATCAATCAAACTGTTAGTAGTATTTCTTACTATACTTGATACTAAAACCAAATTTTGAAATTACACATCTGATGGTAATGACTCTCTTTTGAATGCTAAACTACGTTATCTTAAATGATTAAGAACAATTTATGGATGAGATAATTTAGTATATCTCTTTATTTAAATGTCCAAAAATATAATTGAATACAACCAGATTTATGATCGCATACGTATAAGTATATCAATCATGTAAGCAAAATAACATAAACAATGATTTTAAACGCATGAAACCGAGTTCACATTGATGTTCTCAGTTACTATTACGACTTTTATTTATTGCTACTGAAATGTTTTTTAGTAGTATAAAATATTTAACGAAGTTATCTACAATGTTTACGTTAAGTAAATAGAATATTAAATATGTTTCACGGACTAGCGACGAAAACGTTGTAATTTAAGGATATGTATTGTTCAGAATTCCTTATTTCTGGGTAATTACACAGATTGTTTGTTGCATCCTGAAATTCCTTGACCAGTTTTGTGAAATCTGCAAATAAATAATTTTTTTTAATCCAATATAGTGCACAATGCTTCTAAAGACTGTCGGAATTCGAAACAATATTGAAGCTTATAGGGTAGATATTTCGTTAATTCTTATTACTTTGTGGAGTTGAACAAACTGTGTATAGAAATAAATAGGGTTAGTAAAATATATTCACTTCACTTCCATGATATGTTTCAAACTAACGAAGGTCAGTTCTCAGAAATAAGATAACTGAAAGTACTTCAAAGAGATTAATCCATACAGCATATTATAAATTGTAGGAAACTTTGATAGACAATATACAGGGATGATCGAATAATTTTTAACTGAGTTTCAAAATATTAACAGCAAAATAAAATTTTAAACAAAAGTTGGAAACTAAGTTTCAATTTAAGCTGACTAACTATGGTCGTAAACAACACTCAAAAGGGTTGTAAACAAGATAGTTGAAAAATGCTTTTTTTTTGTTTTCTAACTATCTATCACCAATTAACTTTTTAACTAAGTGAATGTCAGTTCAATTGAGTTGAAATTGTATATTTTTTGGCTTTATTCAATAGAGGCAAGTGACGACGGTAAACTTTTTAACTCACAACTAACAGGACAATCCGCAGAAAGAGAACAAATATTTATCCTAACGTACTCTTTCGATTAATAAACATACTGTTATAACTCGTGCACTGTGTCCTTATTAATGTATAAAGTAATCATACCGCCAATTACAGAACAGCAGCCTCAGCGATATGAATCATTTATTTCAAACATACTGGGTTTATATGCCAACCAGACAGACCACATCGTACCATAAAATAGTAAACAACATTTTTACAAGATTTATCCAAAATTGGCTGTGAATGTGGGAGGTAGTAACTGATAGACTGGGTATAACTCAAGAATGGTACATCGTATAATAATAGTTCATAGGTCAAAATATAGCTTATCATAAGAGGAACAAGAATATGAATGATTTAGTCATTTAACAATTATACGATAAAACTATACGTTTAATATTGGTCCATAAATGGATCCCAAAAGTTACCATTTATTATTCTCATCGGGATATAACACATACATTATCAAATGTCGTTTGAGGTGACAGGAAGCTAGTCTATATTCGCTTTTTTCTACACCATGAAGCATTTTCAAAGAAAATAGTTGATGTTCAGTGCAGATTTTAACACTAGATTTTATCTAGTCTTATTTTAGGTTCTAGACAAATGCATAGTACCTGAATGGGAAGTCCATTCAATACATTTTTAGTAAAGGATTTATCTTCATAACTTATAGGTAATGATCTTACTTAAAATATTTTCCTTAAACGAAATATCCCAATATTGAGAAATAAATTCAAGGATTACCTTCTAAGAAGAACAACGATTAGAAGGTAAACTGTACACCTGATTTTGTTCATGACTATACACATTTTAAAGCTTTTAATTTAAAAGTCATTTCTATAATGACCTTTAACAGTATATTTGATTTCAATTGTCTTATTTATGTTGGATATATTACAGAGATACCGACAAAAGATTCAATTAGTTCAAACATAATCAATGTGAAGTTATTAAAAGAGAAAGATGAAGGTTTTGGTTTTGTGATTGTCAGCTCTTTGAATAAAGAAAAAGCAAGTGAAATAGGTAAGTATAAATATGAAAAAATATAACAACATTCTGACTACTAAAAAAATAGACAATTAGATAGGAATTAACAGAGATGGTGGAGAAGATTTGTAGCTCAGGTGGATGATTTCTGTCTGAAGTTTGTTCTGATTATGTCGTTCAGAAGAACGGTGAAAGCTCCATGTCCAAACCATCCAGCTCAGAGAACAAAACTCCATCAAAAGAATAAACAGAAAGTAAACAAATGGATATTTTGAACTAGCGAATGTTTCCATTTAAACAACTATGACATATCTTATGTATTTATTACATAATACTGACTAAATAAGAAATATTTTGGAAAAAAGAAACATATGAGTTGGAAACAGTTTTCAAACCTCTTGACGATTAGTGTATATCTAGTATTAAGCTTTAAGTTTACTGATTGAATTTCACTTGATGATTGAATGAATATGGAAATTCTGAATTACATGACTCAAGCTAACTTCGTATATTCTTTAAGTTCTCTTAAATTTCAACTTTTTTTCATATGTTGTTTACCTGCTTTATTTGTGTTCTTTTTGTTAATGATATTAATCTTAAATATCTCTCATTCATCCATAGCTCGTTATTAAAGTGTAATTACTTGATTTAGTAACTTTGTTTGTGTTTTTTTGTTTATTTCTGATTTCATCAATGTACTGTATATGAAGTAAAAAGAGAAATAAAACCACAATCTAATTTCTATATTATCTAAAGTTATTTCAAAGTAGATAGGCCTTAGTCAGTTTGTTCACAACCTCATTGTCAAGTATTGTTAACTTGATTATTATCATCGAAATTAATTCATCATCTGGGGACGACCACCGGGGAACTCATGGAAGCTCTGAAAGGGCCGGAGACATTCAATCAAATAATCTTTTCGAAGAACATTTCACAACCTCAGCGTTTAGCTTACCGATTGGACAAATTCTAAAAACCACTGCATGTATATTGGATGATTATAATGATGATTTCGTTTTTACTTAAAACGATAAATCTCCGAGTGTTTTGTATTATATTTGACACTGGTTAGGATAGAATTTCTTTCACTTGTCTTCTCATTTGTGACTTGGAGGGTTCTAGTGTTTGAGTGCTCAGGATGTACGCGGTTCTAGTCCTAGATATAACATATCACTTATAAAAAATATTTGAAAACCTTTTACATTATTCTACAGAAGTAAATTATTATGCTAATTTAAATACAAATTAACTCGTTTAAGAAACATCCCATAAAGACGTCAATCATTCATTAAATGATTCATGCAGATTTCCATTATAAACTTTTGTTAGAACTAGAACAAATTATCTTCACACTGTTGTATGCCAAGATATATATTCTTATCTATATTTGATGGTCATATATAGAATCTCAGACAATGGTCTGGAATATATCACAAATTCAAACGTTGGTAGCAATTGTACTTGTCACATATCTGTGCTTTAGATAAATAACTGTCTACCAATATTTTAATATTGTAATAATCCAGTTAGTTAAAGGCATATCGAAACATCAAAATTACTCAAATAATTAAATGCATGCTACTATTAGTCGTCACAATACTGGAAATGTAGAAAATGGTAGTTGTTTATATTCTAGTATTGTCTGACTTCGATTACTGAGAGTTTTACGTCTGAAATTTCATTTTGAATAACCTTTTAAAACATTTTATTTTTATTATAAACCTAAATGATTACCGAAATTCAAAGTGTCTTTATCAGTAGTTATAATATTTATCTCATATTTTATTTCAATTAAAAGGTCGTATAATTCCAGGTAGTCCAGCTGATAAATGTGGACAATTAGAAGTTGGACAACGTATACTGGCTATAAATGGTTATTGTTTATTAGGAATTAATCATATGGATATTGTAAATCTTATACGTCAAAATCAACAACAATTAATTTTGACAATTGAAAAACCTGGTAAATGAAATTGGTTAAGATCCTTTGTATCTCTCACTATCAAAAACGAGCAATAATTATAAGATAATTATTCTATACATGTTACATAACACTACTATCTAATGTTTATTTTCTTACATACCATACAACTTTCTCCTTACTCTTCTATGCATCATACAAGGTTTTCACAAGTTCATTTTTAACTGATGTAAACAATTGATTATGTATGTTGGAGTTCTTAGAATTTGAAATAAATGTTCATAACTACTTTTAACAAAGGAAACTTGGAATAAATTGTTTACCTTATTAAAAGAAATCATAAAGAAAAACCTCGGCTTAATAGAAATCATCTATCGCTAAATAAATCATCACATTAATCAACAGTTTTCACTATAAGTTGACATTATAGAGAAACTATTTAGTTATGTTCACTTGATGTTGTTTTACTTGAATCTTCCCATTGTTATTTAGGACTGCAATTAATCAGTCCTTGTTGGTATATGTGTATCCTGGGCGGATTACCTCGATATAGCCTTAAATCACAAGCTTTTTAAGCAATGATGGATCGTGACTAGCAGTGGACTTCCTGACGCGCGTTTCGTCTTATTTGCGACTCGTCAGCTGGATGTACTTGCATCCCAGTGTTGATGTTCACTCTGCGACTCGGACCCAGTACCTTTCACTTCAAATGACATTGTGTTATCCACTTAGCTACTGAGTCCTGATAATGCAATGTTTGAAGTGAACGGTACTGGGTTCGAGTCCCGGAGTGAACATCAGCTCTGGGATACAGGTACATCCGGCTGATGAGTCCCAAATAAGACGAAATGTGAATCGTGGATTCCTTTGCTAGCCACCATACATCTAGTAAAGTAATAAAATCCAACAATTTGATATCACATAATTATGCATCTATATTATAATGATGCATAACACTTTGTATCACAAACTCTACCTCTTAAATTACAGGTTCTTTGTCTAATGACCAACATAAAAGCCGTACTAACAGTTTAGATACAGATGAAAACCTTATCCCACCGGCTACTTCTACAATGATTTGTCCCAATCCAACTGTATGTTTTCGTCCTACAAATGGTTCAAAAACTACAGAGGTAAGTTACAGAGAATATTTATTCAAAAACTATTCATCAATGAACGTATTACTTAACAATCCACGTACTAATAAGTCTATTCTTGTGAATTTTTAATTCTTGTGATTCAATCGACAAAGTAGCGATACGGTCATCTAAATATTAATACCTTAAATCCTACTGCAACCTAGATTCTAATCAAGTTTAATAATATTTATGTCAAAAGTCCTGTTCACTATTCAGCTATTTTCATTTCACAATTTATTATCAAAATTCAAATCATGTAGTAAGGCTTAATGTTGTTTTTTTTTCGATTCTGGGAGTCTCAATTTATCATAAGTTAATCAGAAATTCATTATAATGTTTACATTTAATATGATTTTTTAAAAACTAGTGCAGTATTCCCTTACAATCATATTTCTTGCAGAATATAAAGTCAAATTTATCAATAAATCAGTTCCATTCTGATTGAACATACAAATGCATAAATCAAATAATTAACTATAAATTAATTTAGATAATCAGTGGTAATTAAAAATAGCAACATGATGAAAATTCTCGATCTTTCTGAATGACCAACTCAATAAACTGTACACATCAATGAACTAGTAAAGAAAAACTACCGAATCAAGCAATTATATCCTAGTTTCGGGTAAAATGAAGCAGAACAAAATAAAGTGTAATAAGATTTGTGATTTTGATAAAATGATAATGGACACAATTTTTCAGTGGTTATTTAAAAGGTTACTTGACATAGATATAAGAATAAATCATCAAACTCTATAAATCTAAATGTATGTACGTGGTTGAAGTATCACAGTAAGATATAGACGTAACCTGATCTTCGATAAATCCGTTTGCAGCATTATTGAAAGAACAGCATTTGTCGATATAATTTAAATTCAAACGTACGTGAGCTGATTGGTTCATTCGTAAGTAATTAGAAATAAAATGTTCTGTTTTATTTAATATGTTTTCAATCGAGCCCCTAAAACTCACTTGCGAATTCAGAAAAGATGAAAGTTTAAGAGTATCTCAGTTAAATATTTTGTTTTATTTCAAACTAGCTGCTGGATGAAAACCGTGTTGTAAAGCCAAGCTTGAATGACATTTCGACTAGAAGCCTATATTCAATTACATTACAACGTGGTCCGAATGGTTTTGGCTTCTCCGTCCGCAGTGGATTCGAATCGAACACATCTCCGTTAATTGTATATCGAATAGCGGATAATGGACCAGCTTTTCAAGAAGGACAAATGAAAGTGAGTTGTATACCAATATGACAATTTTTAATGTCTTAAAAATTATTTACACCACTACTCAAATAGTCACGCACCGTTGAGATGGCCGTTATGTCCGTTTACATAAGTCTCTAAGGAACAAGAACGAAACATTTGCAACTTCGAGTTGAACACACTAAGAGACTAACTAATCACTTCAGTTTTACTGAATGACCATAACTGAATTATGCTTTGGCTTTCGGTATCATACACATCGTTGTTATCGTATATATAGATATATTTATCGCTGTTATATGTACTCATGTTGACAAGTATGAAGAATAATCAGTGAAATAGCTTATATCCAATAAATTACATGGGTGACTCAATAATTATTTATCTGTTGAAGGCCAAATATATATACAACAGGAAGACGTTTCTTTATGACCACTGTATGTTTCTAGTTAATAATTATGTTGATGGAAATGACAACATATAGTCCAACACTCGATATATAATAACATCTTTATTGTTATCATCATTTAGGTCGGAGATGAAATTCTAGAGATTAATGGGATTAGTACATTTACAATGACACATCAACAAGCTGTCACATTGATTAGATCAAGTGGATCAACTCTAAGAATTCTATTGCAACGTTTCAATGAAAATCAATATGAATATTCATTTTAACGAAAAAACGACGATGACGACAACAGAGGAATGCTTATAGAAAATACATGAAGATATAGACATAGGTAAAAAAAATAAATGTTGATGAATTTCATCATTTAAGTTTTGTATAGAGAGAATATATTTCCGAAATTGTACAGTTAATCAGATTTTAAAATTTCCATTAAAACACAAATGTACAATTATTCTTATGCTGTTTGACTTTAAATATATGTAAAGATTAATTTAAGTGGTGAATGGGTCTTTTTTATAATCATAAATTAACATCAACTGAGGAATTATTAGAAACTAAGCAATATTAGATAATTGTTTCATCTCAGTATAAAACTCATTAGAAGTGTACATTCACAACTCCACTAAGAAGGGGATCTTTTATAACCTAATGAAATAATATTAAGAAATTGACACAAGTATTACAAGTTATTTTACCGAAATAGTTAATAACTAAAGAGGAATTTAATAAAACAAAGAATAATTGTAAATAATACGTAATATGAAATCTAGAAGGACTAGTCATACATTGATGGATAAAAATATTATAAAGTCTAAGACTTTTATGAATAGATTTCTAGATCCTTTTAAGAGAATAAAAACTCAAACAGGTTTAAACATTTTTCGTTTGATCGACATAAACAGATGATCATCTCCATCTCATGCTAAGAGATTTGCAAGAAAGCACTAATAACTACTACAAATGTTCCTGTAAGTACAGAACAGTTGGAATCTGACTAACAGTGCAATGTAGGACACGTACTTCATCCTATTTGCGACTAGTCGGCTGGATGTAGCTGCAAACCAAAATTGACTGATGTTCACTTCATGACTCGTAACTGGTACCTTTCCAGTTAAATGCCCATGTTATCCACTTAGCTACTGATTCCAAATAACATCTCACAAACAGACTATATAATATTCTCAGATTTTAGCCACTATAAAGATGGTTTACAGTTAGAGATATAGCTTATCCTTTAACCTACTTCAATTTAGACAGGCAATTTATACTATTAGCGCTAAAATTAAAGCAAATATAACTCAAGACTGAGTAAACAAACATGTAGGTGGCTGGTTACATCAATTGAAAACATAATTTCAAGAAACTAAATCAATAAGAACATTGCTTAGAACCACTAAATCCTTGGGTGATATAATATACATGATTTTAGAAAGTGTATTATTTTATTCCTTATTCTTGTACACAACTAGTACAGTGTAGGCCTTTTGGTAACAAATAACATATCTAAACAATTGTTGACCTAATTTCGCATGTATTTTGCAAAACTCTGGGGTTTTTTTAAACATAACATAATATACCTTTAACGATGCATAATAAAACTTAGTTAATTGATACGAATGACTATTAAACAATTAACACGATAGAAATTCATTAAATTACATGTAACGCTAAAAATCCCCCACCCCAACACCCCTCCATTCAATAATATTACGACTTAAGCGTTGCTTTATGATCAATAAATTTTACCAACCAAACATAAGATACATGTACACAATTCATTATTCTATATTTATAAATACATAACCTCAATTTTGTTCTATGACGTTTATTTTTCTTAAACTTAACTATAACTTAATTTGAATACAAGTAGTTTTTGTCATTAAAAAAAAATTTATTCTCTTTTACACATACAAAAAGAGAAAATGATACACATTGTAAAATAAGTAAATAAAAAATACAGAGTAGACGAGTGAGGAGAGGGAGGGAATAATTGAAACACAAACCTAGAAGTGTTTGCATTAAAATATATCCACTAGAAATGGTACAGCTATAACCGCCACCACCACCACAACAACAACAATGATAAAAAGCAAACGAATAAATTTATTATTTTCATACAAAAGAACGATTCATTAAAAAATCCTAAGCAGAAAAAAAAGAAACTCTTTTCCCTTTTCTCCGCCATCTCTCACTATTCATTGCCACAGTTACAATTTTCTCGTGGTTTTCTAAGAGAACAGAAGAAATACGCTGAGAGGGAGAAAACACAACAAAATAACAAATACTAAAGATGCAAAACAATTTTCACACTATAAACTGTACATAATAGAATTATAATTAATGATAACAGTACTAGTTAAAAAGCATAATAATCTTATAAACTGAAAAACATACATCTGATTTGTTTATGATAAAAAAGATTTTTTACTTCTGAAAGATGTTAATGATGTGATAGTAAGTTTACAGAGATAAGATGGAATGAGTCACAAATAATTAAGTAGAGTGAGTGAGTGAATGAGTGAGCAGAGGAATACAAAGGCAAAGTGGTGAAAACTGAGTTTAAACTTGAAAAAAAAAAGTTAAAGAGTTAACGAAGTAAAGATGAAAAATTTGCTGAGTATTTTTCTTTTAATATACATTCATTATTTTTAAAAATAATCCTATTCACTAGTATATCTAACACAGAAAATATGTATTTTTTTTTTTGAAAAATAAGGTTAAATAAAAATTTTAATTAAAAAAAGCCTAGAAACAGTACACACAAAAATACATGAATGAATGCATAAATAAGTACTAATTACAAATATTCATATCGTCTTGATCCATTATCATTCGACTGATCATTGTAATGTATCTCATTACTAATCATCATCGTTATGTTATTATTACGTAATAATAGAGAAAAAGTTTTGAAAGAGAAAGAATTAAGAAGAGATTAATATACACATTATCGTTATTACACAAATTTACAGATAGTTGACTACTTACAAAAACGATAACTATGTCTGATAAAATACTAATAATGTTTTTGAAACAAGAAAAAGGAAAGAGAAAATGAAGACATTCAACTATAACAATCACGTAATATAAATACAAATATATTTATGAAGTAGTAGATAGTTTTTTACTTGGACTAATATTTTGTTGTTCTTGAAAAAGCCATACTTCATGAACAGCTTTTTTATGTTTATCTAAACGTGATTCTGAAGCAAGTAACATTCCACATATATGACAACCATAACCTAAATTAGGCACTGATAATACAGTAGGCCAATATTGACTACGATTTGTATGATGATGATGATTAGTATTAGTAGTAGTATTTGTTGATTTTAATGTTAGTAAATGTTTTAATAATTTTTCAGTTGATTCAAATAATGGTGAATCATGTGAACAGCCTGGACAAGCGATAGATTGTGATAATAAGTTATTAGATAATTCATTTTTATGAATGAATGATTTATTATTATGATGAGACATTAAAGTTTGATGAACTTTTAAGCCAGTTCCAGATCGAAATTCTCGATTGCACTGTTCACAAATTACAGAAGTTTTAACTTGTGAAATATTGTTCGTCGATAAAATAGATTTTTGTTTATTGGATCGATTTGGATGAGATGAACATCGTGCACGATGTATTTGAAGGTAACGCCAACACTTAAATCCAGAACGATTACACCAAGAACAAGTAAATAATGATGACGATTCATTGATTTTTAAACTACAATCAGATGCTGGGACAGTTGTTGCATTTGAGATGATAGATTTGACATCGTCAATTAAATTATCACTTAAAGATTGTGTAGACACCGATGATCGACGACTACTATAGGGTAGACAAAAAGGGTTAACAGAAAATAGTATTGACCATTTCAAATTTTACAAAATTGGCCTCTGATTACCGTTACAAAAACATTTTAATCATCTTGCTTTATTCACATTATAATCTGTTGATAACTTATTGGTTTAACAAAACTTTATATTTGCACATACAATCTTTTTATTGTTGTCGCTCGTATTATGCAAACTAGTATTATAATCTCTTTAATGCATCATCACGTTTATTCCTTGGTCATATGACCTCACAGAACTAATACCTCAACAAAAAATATATATAAGCTTACCATTTAGATATTTCTTCTTCGATACGTGGATGACGAAGTGAATATGGAGAAACTGATCTATTTTTTCTTCTATTTAACTTTGATATAATAGATGGAGTTTCTATATTCCGGATACTTTGATTAGATTGTAATGATAGTCTGCGACTTCGTAAACCAAGAGAATAAGTCTTTCCAGTTAGGATACATGAATTATTGGATGATGAATGAGTTTCAGATATTTGTTTCATCTGTATATTTTTTTTAATATAAAAATAAAAGATGTAGATGAATTAATGAATATATTTGATGATATAGTTACAAGAAACCGGTGACTTGTTAAGTAACACTTGCAAAATAAATCAAGGAACGACGTTATGTTCAATGGAAATAGTTCTCTATTTCATGTAGTTGGAAAGAAAAATACAAAAATCACACTACCTATGATAGTTTACAATTAGAAAAAGAATTTCAAATTCCACTGATAGGCAACAATTTTATACGATTTTGTGTGATATATTATAATAATGGCTTTATTTAATGCAAAAGATTTAGCTACAACACAGAATTCTCAGCGCAAAACACTCAAGGTTGTAAGAAATACCACCCGCCCTCTACTGGTATCCATATACTTGTGAATATTCAAACGAACAGGTCAAAAACCTTTTAACTCCCCATCAAAATCTTTCATCATACAATATATTTAATGTATAAACTACAATGTGGTAGTCTGAAGTCTCTTTAAAGAACAAACAAGAAGGTAAAAATACTAACTCTACAATAGGATTGCAGAACTTTCAGAAGAATATATGAGTACATTCGATGGGACCGAATGGAAAACATTGTTTAAGATTAGCAGAATCTTTACTAAAGTAAAGAATGACTTATTATAATAACAACACGAACATGTGTATGAATAGGATAACGCTTATTTCAATAATTTGTGCTAGTAATCGCAATACTGTAAGTTCAAAAAATAAGGAAGGCAAGATAATTGAACAATTAACTACAAAAAAGCTAATCTATCACAAAATTATTTTCATCGATACACATCACAAGATTCAGCAAATAAATTAACTCAATAATATCAGTATATAGGAAAAACGGAATAACTTATTGAAAGGAAACATCAATCAAAAAGTAAGAAGAAGCTAAAATACATGAATCAAGTAAATCTCTTGACCGACAATCTTTGAAATCTGAAGCTTGTATCAGTTAACCCTCAGAATGACAAATGTCATGATCAAACTTCAAAAGCTCTTGATTAGGATGATTAGTGGATACACAAACTCCGCCTGTAGCTCTAATAGGGTTACTGCCGGTCCCAAGCCCGGGTAAAGGAGGAGGGTTGGGCATGGGGTTAGCGTCCCCATCCCGTAGAAAACTAACTCGCTAAAAAAACGCTTACCAGAAAAAATTATTCAAACCATTTAAACTCTGCCCTGGGAGTTAGAAGGTCTTCAGTTAGAAGAATTATGACGCTTCATGGTGAAAGCCGAGTTCCTTCGGAAGCCACGAGGCCGATGCCCCTTCTAACAACCAGAGCAAAAATTTTTATAGGTACATGGAACGTTCGAACAATGTGGGAAACCGGGAAGACCAGTCAAATAGCAATGGAAATGAGGAGATACAACTTAGCAGTACTGGGAATCAGCGAAACCCACTGGACCCAAGCTGGACAGAAAAGGCTAGCTACGGGAGAGATGCTGCTATACTCCGGTCACGAGGAGGACAATGCTCCACACACTCAGGGAGTCGCTCTTATGCTGTCCAAAGTAGCACGAAATGCACTTGTAGGATGGGAGTCTCACGGATCCAGAATCATCAAAGCATCATTCAAAACAAAGAAGGAGGGGATCTTAATGAATATTATCCAATGTTATGCACCCACCAATGATAGCAACGACGACATTAAAGATCAGTTCTACGAGCGGCTACAGTCAATCATTGAGAAATGCCAAGAAAGGACCTAACTATTCTGATGGGAGATCTAAATGCCAAAGTCGGAATAGACAACACCGGATATGAAGATATCATGGGACGACATGGACTGGGACAGAGAAACGAAAATGGAGAAAGATTTGCAAATCTATGTGCATTCAACAAATTGGTCATAGGAGGCACAATATTTCCACACAAGCGTATACACAAGGCTACATGGATCTCACCGGACCACACTACAGAGAACCAAATAGATCATATTTGCATCAACAAAAAATTCCGAAGGACAATGGAAGATGTAAGAACCAGGAGAGGTGCTGACGTAGCTTCAGATCACCACCTAGTTGTAGCCAATTTAAAACTGAAGCTAAAAAAGAACTGGACAAGTGGACCAACAGCACTACAAAGGTTCAATACAGCCTTCCTTCGAGATACTGACAAACTCAATGAATTCAAGATAGCTCTCAACAACAGGTTCCAAGCCTTACAAGATCTACTGAAAGAAGAAGAAACTAGTATGGAGGACAACTGGAAAGGCATCAAGGAAGCATTAACTTCAACGTGTCAAGAGGTTCTGGGCCTAAAGAAACACCATCATAAGGAATGGATCTCTATAGAAACACTGGACAAGATCAAAGAAAGGAAGAACAAGAAGGCAGCAATTAACAACAGCCGAACACGAGCAGAGAAAGTTCAAGCACAAGCTGAATACATAGAAGCAAACAAACAAGTGAAGAGGTGCATTAGAGCCGACAAGAAGAAATACGTGGAAGAACTAGCAACGACGGCAGAAAAAGCTGCTAGAGAAGGAAATATGAAACAGCTTTACGATACAACGAAGAAACTAGCAGGGAAATACAGTAAACCAGAGAGGCCGGTCAAAGACAAAGAAGGCAAGCCAATCACCGAAATTCAACATCAGCGTAACAGATGGGTGGAATACTTCGAGGAACTCCTGAATAGGCCGGCTCCAATGAATCCACCGGACATCGAAGCAGCACACATAGATCTTCCTATAGATGTCAACCCACCAACGACGGAAGAAATTAGAATGGCCGTCAGACAAATCAAGAACGGGAAAGCAGCAGGACCCGACAACATACCAGCTGAAGCACTGAAATCAGACATCGAAGCAACCACAAGCATGCTGTACCTTCTATTCAAAAAGATTTGGGAGGAGGAACAAGTGCCAATGGACTGGAAAGAAGGACACCTCGTCAAGATTCCAAAGAAAGGAGATCTGAGCAAATGTGAAAACTACAGAGGCATTACACTACTGTCAATACCAGGGAAAGTCTTCAACAGAGTGTTGCTGAACCGTATGAAGGATGCAGTAGACGCCCAACTTCGAGATCAACAAGCTGGATTCCGTAAGGATCGGTCGTGCACAGACCAAATTGCAACACTACGGATCATCGTCGAACAATCAGTGGAGTGGAACTCATCACTATACATCAACTTCATTGATTATGAAAAGGCATTCGACAGTGTAGATAGGAGGACATTATGGAAACTTCTTCGACACTACGGAGTTCCTGAGAAGATTGTCAACATTATCCGGAACTCATACGACGGACTACAGTGCAAAGTAGTGCATGGAGGACAGCTGACAGATGCATTCCAAGTAAGGACTGGAGTCAGACAAGGCTGTTTACTCTCTCCCTTCCTCTTTCTTCTGGTGGTCGACTGGATTATGAAGACCTCAACATCTGAAGGAAAACACGGAATACAATGGACAACTCAGAATCAATTAGACGATTTGGACTTCGCAGACGACCTAGCCCTCCTATCACGTACACACGAACAGATGCAGATGAAGACAGCCAGTGTAGCAGCAGTCTCTGCATCAGTAGGCCTCAGCATACACAAAGGGAAAACCAAGGTCCTCAAATTCAAAGCGGAAAACAGCAATCCAATCACTCTTGATGGCGAAACTCTGGAAGATGTAGAGTCCTTCACATACCTAGGAAGCATCATCGATGAACAAGGAGGTTCAGATGCAGACGTAAAGGCGAGGATCGGCAAAGCAAGGGTCGCATTCCTACAATTGAAGAACATATGGAACTCAAAACAACTTTCAACCAATATCAAAGTGAGAATCTTCAATACGAACGTCAAGGCAGTTCTACTGTATGGAGCTGAAACTTGGAGAACTACAACAACCACCATCAAGAAAGTACAAGTATTTATAAATAGCTGCCTACGCAAGATACTCAACATCCACTGGCCGGATACCATCAGCAATAGCCTTCTGTGGGAGAGAACAAAGCAACTTCCAGCTGAAGAAGAAATTAGGAAAAGACGATGGAAATGGATAGGACATACATTACGCAAACCGTCAAACTGCATCACGAGGCAAGCCCTAACTTGGAACCCTGAAGGGAGGCGAAAAAGAGGAAGGCCAAAGAACACATTGCGTCGGATTATAGAAGCAGATATGAAAAGGATGAATTACAACTGGACGGAGCTAGAAAGGATTGCCCAGGACAGGGTTGGATGGAGAATGCTGGTGAGTGGCCTATGCTCCTTCACGAGGAGTAACAGGCGTAAGTAAGTAAGTAAGTAAGTAAGTGGATACACAACTTTGACGAATTTCAGATAACTCGGTAGTGATTTAGTCTGCCGAACAACACCTTACAACAAGACACAAATAAATGTACAAAATTTGGAAGACTTTAGACAATATATAAAACGATAGAAAAGGTACAGTAAATAAAAAACAAGTATCCTTATACGTAAATTTGACTGAAGCCTTGTCAAAAAACATAGCAAAACATTGCGAATATAATTTTTGTAACGAACAAATACTGAAAAAAGACAAAATATTTACATGGTTCTTTAAATGGACGATCATCAAAATTCACAACAAAAAATTAAATCATATAGTCAACTAAATATGAAACATTCAAACAATAATAACAACTACCTCACCTCACCAACTACCTGCCCGATATTCTCATTCTCAACAACTTTGGAATCCAATGTCACCGACTCTGAACATTCTTCCCATGTCAAATTCGATACCATCTCATTATCCATGCATCCACCACCATTCAAACACTCCCCTGATTTCCTTATACCAGAGTTATTATTCTTCACATAGTCTGTTCTCTTACGAGTCCTAATCAGATCCACCTAAAAACATTCATCAATAAAAACATTTTACCCTTACAAACAATTTAATCACGAACATATTCACAAAATACTCATGTTGAACATTCCAAAACACAAAACTCTTCGTCACTTACTACTTCCTCTCCTCCAAACTCCCACCCTCACACACTCTCCCATACACTCACCAAGATCAAACAACAATGCTACTACAACCGTTTCATGATCATCACCGAACATGAACAACATCAAACTCATTCAATCTAACCACTCCTCACCTACCTACCTACCTACCTACCTACCTACCTACCTACCTTGTGGTTCGATTGACGTGCATGACGTAAAAGTGACGTTCTATGGCGATAACTCAATGAACACATGTTACATTTGAAGGGAGTAGCAGTTGAATTTTCATTCGAAGCATCTTGTTCACTCAATGTCCCTGTTGTTGTCGTCGTCGTCATTGTTGTTGTTGCTGTTGTCGTTGTCGTTGCTTCTTCTGATGTCTCCAGTCCACTCGTCGATGGAGACATCCGATTCTTCTGTTCATCCTACACAAGTGAGGGATAGTTAGAACGGAATAACAGCCGTCATTACAAAAAAACTTTACACACTTTTCATACTGTATCTATTTCCCTAATAAACAAACAAACACACACAAACTCAAAATAAGTACTTACTTCAGTGGGGTTGTCCTGATGACATCCAGTCGAAAACAGATGTTCATCGGTACAATCATGTTGTGAGTCTTCTGAATTTACTAAAGCAGTCACATTCTTGTCTAACGTAGAAAGACCACGAGGATCCAGTGATTTATCACCTGAATTCATTGCAATTTCATTATTGTCTGTATCGCCATTTGAATGTCGGTGATCAACCTGAATATGTGTTGAATAGATTGTAAAAATTAAAATAAATTAAATTATCACAACCATAGATAATTAGTTTAGAAGTACGGAACATTTAGTGCCACATAACGGAGACAAATGTTCAACACCGTATTTGACTATTTTATTGATAAGTTGAAACATAATCAGTAGATTTAGGATGTATGTTAATTACGCTAGCCTGGAAGAATAAAAAAGGTGAAACTGAATTTTGAAAAATAAACTCACTACTGATTATTACTATGTTTTCACAAAATTTCAATATAAGAATGGAGTTCAAAATCAATAATTTTGGTATATTGGAAAATGGTCATCATTGGAAAAAAAAGGGGGTATTTGACATTGTTTATACGCAGAACAACCGTTTATTACTAGGCGTTTAATAAACATAGCGGAACCAAGAACATTTGACAAAAGCTAACGGTGTCTAATTATTTATTTATGATGTAGTGAACGAGAACTCAGGTGGGGAAGACCAATTTATTGTTTAATACAAAATTACAGAGTACTTACGAAAGATATGAAAACGATACATTAAATACATAATTTGCATATCTTCCATCAGTTGTCGTTTACATACTTCCTTATTCTTTCAATTCTCTTGTTATTACAATTAATTTCTGTTTCCCTTTCTGTTCATCCCAACTGGATCTTCTCAATCTTTTGTTGGCATGCATTCCACTTCCGATTGGTGCTACATACTAGTTATATCTGTCAATATAAGTAGCATACACCATAATGACAGAATGCTTTTTGTAAGTAAAAAAGAATAAATCCATCACACAAAGTGAAGTGACAGTGCATCGCAGAAAACCAAAGTGGGGTCACATGAGAATAAAGACACCAGTACATAATACTCCATATAGAAACCACAAAGACATGTATAATACGTGTTCACATCAGGAAAACTAGTGTTTATAAATGGCGTCACTGAATGAACGATGATTTCCGTTAAGAATAAACTCATGTTATGAAAATCGAGAAAACTGATGAAATGTATGTAACAAAAAAGTAGGCCAGCTTAAATGCCCACTTACAAAACAACTTAACCTAATGGAAATTCTTGTAACTTCATACAAGATAGCTTCGTGAACAGCATCCACCAGCTCTACAACTAACAATATGGTTAACAGTATTGGTCAATTGACATTTGACTTATTTGCGAACATCATCATTACGGTGTTGTAGTTATGAAGACCAGTTTGAAACTGATTTCAACAACCAAAAAAATGGTTGGATTTTTCCTTTACTTTCAAGTGAACTGGACCCAGCATAGCTCAACAAGTACAATAAACTCATATTATAATAAAACCCATACAATTTCTACTTCGTAGCACCTACACAACTATGCTGAACAACGATTACTGAAGAACCGATGATACTGTTGCATTAAGCTAGTAGCGAAAGATGATGATTTTATGATATGTTGAAGTATTATTGAGTTCGAACAACATGCATTATATGTAACCTCTAATGTGCTAGGTTCATTGACGCAAGTAAGCGCTGGATACATTGTTTGAACCAAAACTATAAATTTACTAGCAATGATACAATAAGTTATCAGGTCACAAACATAATCATTTAAGTACACAGGCCAAAACTATAAATTTATTTGATCGGTTTTTTAAGCCAATATTTCAGACTCGTGTTTCATCCTATATAAATGTAGAATTTGTCCACAAAAGTCTTGAAACATATTGGTGGCATGCGTAAAGCTCCTGTTTATTGTACATATATAGTAGCCAATTTTCGCCAACTACAGAGTATTATCAAGATGTTTCATCCGAAAAGACTTGTTTCTTACACTTACGATCAAGAAATTAACATCAAGCCCCAAAAACAACAACTACATTATCCAAATGTCAGTATCATTGAGTCCCACTCGAACTTAGCCGATCCAGCTTTTATAATTATAAAGCCGAACGAACTGATAGGTATCTGTTCCGACTTCATTACCAGTCTGAGAGGACGACTTAAACGCCGCCGATTGACAATCAATTGTCCACCAGTCCAAATGGCAGTAGTTAGTGAAATTCAACGTAGCTAATGTTTAATAACATATAATGATTTGGAGAATTTAGTAACATCCTCTGGAATTAACTCCATTTTATCCAAATATTCTTGGCGGTCAAGTAGTACTACACCAGCTTCTTTGTCAGGTTTACTAAGGAATAAATCTTTATTTCTTTTCAGGAGTATTAGCTGCAGTCATGGATACGTTAATGCGCAATATAGTAAGAATAACCTATTAACTAAGAACCACTTGGATCACCTAATACTCCTGAAAAGAAATAAGGATTTAATCCTTAGTAAACCTGACAAAGGAGCTGGTGTAGTACTACTTGACCGCCAAGAATATTTGGATAAAATGGAGTTAATTCCAGAGGATTTTACTAAATTCTCCAAACCTAAAGAAGTTGATAAAATATAATCATTTATTTCTACACCGATAGCTATCGGTTACAAACAAACATTATGGGTTAGTACAGTACAACAGGTTACTTTACCCTATTAGAAAATTCCTCAGAGGATTTTAACAGTTGATGAAAGCAATTTTAGCAGATACACCGAATGCTTCCACCTAAATCTATGATACCTTCATTGTCGCAAGTTCACCAGAAGAACTATGTACCCAAGATCAGTTTATTCCACAACATATGCAAACCCATAAATTACACGGATTAAAAATATGTCCACTCTGTTTATGCTTAATTAGATACCTAGGCTTTTGTCACCGATCTGAACCGAAGAACATTAGAGTCATGGAAAAATGAAGATATTTCAAAAAAATATCTTACGCTCGTTCTTGAGTCTATTTAGTAACTACTTTGTATTTTCAAAATTTATGAATAAATGCATTGTTAAACCAACATCTATTGGAACTGATCAACATATTGGTACAATGTTTTACAGAATTGAAAGCTATTTTGAAGTATATTGACAAAATACAATCCAAATGATCTCAACAATTGCTTAAAGTAATGCATTTATTTATGGTGTAGAGGCAGCGATCCTACTTAAACTCCGAAGTGACACAGAAAGGCAGCAACACACGAAAGCAGACCATAAACTTTAATGGAGATGATGAGCAGAAATCGAAGAAGTACTACCACTGTTTATCACACCAGAATGCTTTAACAAATTAATTTATGAGAAACACTTCACTTTGTTATCGAAGCGAAAACCACTCAGTGCAGTATTCAGGTTGAATTTCTAAAACTTGGGAAATTTGGTCAAATATCTACACTAACATGGAACAGCCATTACGGAGCACGACTGAAAAGACAATATGTACCATAAACTCTGTTAGTTCCAAGAAAATTTCCAGTAGTAACTACCTTATAACAAACGAAGGCAGTTATTCCCAACGTCTCCGAAGACCGTGCAAACCACAGCTCCGACAATGCAGTGTAGAGCGCTCCGACTAGCAAAAGAATGAGAACGCTATATACAAAGACAAGTGACTACGAGTTATGCACTAAATACAGTAAAATAGTTATTAGTTCTTCAAGATGATCCACAATAGCTATTTGAATAGCAGTTTCTTTACACCATATAACTAGGAATGACAAGTCGTAATGTTGCCAAAACAGCAAGAACAATCACTACTCCAATTTTATTCAGGACGTACATTTCTGGTATGGTATTTAGTGTGTACTATTCACACCCAAAGATAGATTCGATTACACTGATAATAATATCAAGACCGTTGGATGATTATTTCGCCATCCTCTTCTGAAAACAATTGTGTCCGGCAAAGAGACACAAGTTCACAATACGATTACTATCCAAATTCGATGTCGAAAAGTCGATAACCAGATTCATTCATCAGCAAAGTCCAGTGGATAAATCAAAAAATCCCTAGACGCATTTACACTGACACATTCTATTAGTCTCAACTAATCTATCAGAGTCATTTCAACTGACAAGAACACTGACCACAAGAGAGTGTATACCAAATTTGACTTTCAGTTTACATACGGAACTACAAATCGGAAAAAGAAAAATGAAGGTCAAATTGTAAGATAAACAAAAACATTTCACTTTAATACACGTTTTACTCACAAACCAGGAAGGCTTTCAAGATAAGCGATGAATATCGCGTTAAGCATATTTACGACAATAGTAGTTTCACTAAAGACTTTGGAGAAAAGGGAATATTAAATATATGAATTATGTATCGGTTTGCAAACATTTAACTATACCGAAAACAACATGAAGTATTATTTACGAAATTCAATACTTATAAAATTGCGAAATATGAGTAAACTCACAACACAATTCACCACCTGATTGTTAAAATGGACGATCATCAAAATTCACAACAAAAATTAAATCATATAGTCAACTAAATATGAAACATTCAAACAATAATAACAACTACCTCACCTCACCAACTACCTGCCCGATATTCTCATTCTCAACAACTTTGGAATCCAATGTCACCGACTCTGAACATTCTTCCCATGTCAAATTCGATACCATCTCATTATCCATGCATCCACCACCATTCAAACACTCCCCTGATTTCCTTATACCAGAGTTATTATTCTTCACATAGTCTGTTCTCTTACGAGTCCTAATCAGATCCACCTAAAAACATTCATCAATAAAAACATTTTACCCTTACAAACAATTTAATCACGAACATATTCACAAAATACTCATGTTGAACATTCCAAAACACAAAACTCTTCGTCACTTACTACTTCCTCTCCTCCAAACTCCCACCCTCACACACTCTCCCATACACTCACCAAGATCAAACAACAATGCTACTACAACCGTTTCATGATCATCACCGAACATGAACAACATCAAACTCATTCAATCTAACCACTCCTCACCTACCTACCTACCTACCTACCTACCTACCTACCTACCTTGTGGTTCGATTGACGTGCATGACGTAAAAGTGACGTTCTATGGCGATAACTCAATGAACACATGTTACATTTGAAGGGAGTAGCAGTTGAATTTTCATTCGAAGCATCTTGTTCACTCAATGTCCCTGTTGTTGTCGTCGTCGTCATTGTTGTTGTTGCTGTTGTCGTTGTCGTTGCTTCTTCTGATGTCTCCAGTCCACTCGTCGATGGAGACATCCGATTCTTCTGTTCATCCTACACAAGTGAGGGATAGTTAGAACGGAATAACAGCCGTCATTACAAAAAAACTTTACACACTTTTCATACTGTATCTATTTCCCTAATAAACAAACAAACACACACAAACTCAAAATAAGTACTTACTTCAGTGGGGTTGTCCTGATGACATCCAGTCGAAAACAGATGTTCATCGGTACAATCATGTTGTGAGTCTTCTGAATTTACTAAAGCAGTCACATTCTTGTCTAACGTAGAAAGACCACGAGGATCCAGTGATTTATCACCTGAATTCATTGCAATTTCATTATTGTCTGTATCGCCATCTGAATGTCGGTGATCAACCTGAATATGTGTTGAATAAATTGTAAAAACAGCATTCACTAAGTGGAATTTAAAGATAGATAATAAATTTTCATTCTCAGAAATTCTCATGGATTTAGGCTAATCCATATTTGAACGTTTCATTTTGGTTAAGTTGTTATAAAAAATGGAAAATACTCATGTTTATTATTTTGTTACGTTATTTCAAAAAATCTTTCCTTTCGAAGTCTTATTTTAAAACAGAATAACGAGTTGTTTTTTTATAGAAGATAAATAAATACCTTTACGAACGCAATCATTTCAGAAATGTAATACGGGTGACGATTTTGCAGAGAATACTGTTACCTTGATAACTTTTTTTGCTTTAAATTTTGATTATGTATATATGAATACAGAATTTCGATGGAAAGCCAAAACCGGGTTGAAGTATACGTCCAAGTTACTTTCTCTAAAATATACAGGAACATCCACCTCATTACATTTTACGTAACATCGATTCCTTTTACATGCCAGCAAAGAAATCAACAAACTTGTAGACTTAGTTTAGACAGTCCTTAAGTTGTATGTAAACTGTCTTTTGGTTTTAATGGGCAGTGAAACTGCTCAAATATATCTAAGAATTGTAGCCCCACTCCTATTTCGTGATTCATAGGTTTATGGTTTACCTCTTATTCACCAAACTTTAATGTGAAAAAAAATATTAATAATCTGATGAGATTGTATGTTAAATTTATAATTTGTTAACGATTTTAACGGTTGGATGAATAAAGTTTCTTATGAGCAGCGATTATAAGCACGAAGAATGTACATAATTTATAGTAGACTCGAAGAATTTCGCAGCCTACTATGACAAAGTGAAGGTACAGTGAATGCATTACAGAAGAAAATCACCTTAACTTTATACAATTGTCCATACATTAAAAAGTTAGCATTAAATGAGTACATAACCTCAATACAGTTCTCTAACAGTAAGTCAAAGTCTCACAACTGTATCGTTTACTTTACAAGGTAATAGAATGATAAACCCGGGACTGTTATTTTTCTGCTTGTAACAACAGATCATAACAATAAAATAATTGACTTGGAGATGAATTCTCGTGAAAATCTCTTACCTTGTGGTTATATTTATGCCGCTGAAGTGATTTTCGGAACCGAAAAACTTTATGACAATGAGAACATTCGTGGCATGACTGAATAACAGTCGGGCTCGACACTGGAATTTGAACTTCATTTTAGTTACACAATTATCAACATTTTGATGATGAGATATTAGAGGGGAAGAGATCTTTTTATCAATCTTAGGTAATGAAAGGAACGGAAATACATGGGAAACACAACTTTAGTGAAGGATGCTGAGATACAATCTTGTGCACTTTAATGCCAGGATGAGTTTGAAAAATTCCAGCACAAGTTACATATATAGTGATATTTAAAAATAACTGCAGTAAGTAGATAGGAGTTAAAAACATATTAAGCGTCCAGATTAAATGACATTGTAAATAATTGAATAAGCATATCTACTAAATAGTAAATCAAGATTAACCAATCTTGTATCATGTACTTCTTAGTGATGACTCAAATTTAGTGATTACGTTTATAAATAAAAACTTCATACAACTCTGGAAAAATTTACCACAGTCCAACAGGCATACTTTGAATAGTTCTGAAGGATAAGGTAAGTGGTGTAAGTTTCAAACTCAAATAGAGCATTGTCGCTTTTGAATTAGCATATTCGTCTAGCTCAGAAGTCCCACCTGCGAAGACGACCAATCACAAGCAAGATTGTCAGCATGAACTGATTTTTGTATTTGTGAGAGGGAGAAATCTGTCCCATACATTTACCAATATTGAAGCATATAAATATATAAATACAATAGCAAAAAAAGAGATAAACGGTCAAAACTGCATACCTTATTAAGCTCAGTATTCGAAATTCCACCCTTGAATAACTCTTTTCTTAAATCCTTCAACTGTGGTGTCACCTTGTGAGTAGGCGTAAACACAAAATGAAATTTGCGTTTATTTCTCCGTACGGCAGGCTTTAATTTTGGGGTACTGCGCTGTAAAATAAAAAATAATATACCCTTCGTTTTCATTACGAATTATAACTGACCAAAAGAACCTATTGAGCGCAAAACGCCTATAAAATTTCAACGGATATTGAACAACGTTATTACACAAATTCCACAATCATAGACACACTAAATGATAATAAAGTAGGTTATGTACGTGGGTCATAAATATTCCAACGACTTACCGTACTTAGTGAAATCCTAGCCTTACAAGAGGCTATATGTCTAGAAAAGTTTGAACGATTATGGATCACACGATAGCAAAATGAACATGTATAAGGTCCACCGTAAGAGGGTCTGTAATTTTGCCAAATATCTTCATCGGACTATAATAAAGAGACATAGGTACTATAAAATAAAGTTATCAAGTATGAACCAGGTAAAAGCATTAAAAAGGCAAATAACTTTACCCCTAAGTCTAAAACAAAAGTCCTCCCCCTAAAACACATCTCTACATCAAAACAGAAACTTAAACGATAATTTCCTAAGAACGATTCTTTGATAAAAACTATCAAGAAGTTAGAACGATTTCAAAATGCCTATTGGTGAATGAGTATGGCAATACCACTGAGAAAATTACATGTAGGGGGTTAAATAAACTATATAAGGTACATATTTATCCGAGGGGATTAATGACAAAATCACGTTATTGAAAGCATATTAAGCGAGACATTCGAATTCGTGACATAGCGGGTGATGGAGAAATACTTAAAATTACTTTGCCATAATTAATCTGATTAAAAACAACTATACTTGGAAAAGGATATGTTATACTAACTATTTAACATCAGTTGATTAAATATTCCCAGCTGATATCAGTCTGACAATAACCTGTCCACTAAAATTATCGCCTCAATCTATTAATAGCATAATGACATATGCTATTCAATAATTTTCAAAAATAGAAGCAAACACCTATTTAGTGCTCAACTTCTAATAATATTTTCTGCATAATTCTAATTAGTGAGAAACACTTAGATAAATCCTGATTTCCAAATCTAACATTTTAACTCATACTAGAAATAATATATCGTCATAAGGGAAATAAAATGCATGTTATAAACATACTTCATATGGTTCATTATTATTAGAAGATAAATTATTTTCTGAACGTTTTGTGACTAAGTGAGAATCAAATGTATTAGTAGTTAAGGTATTACGATCTGTTTTTAATGAATCATCAGAATTAATAAATGGATTAGTAGTGGTAGACAGAAAAGGAGTGATTGGATTTGATTTTGAGTCAACATCATGATTCATCTTTGGATTATTCTATAAATAAAAAACGGAAAATAGGTTTGAGAAAATAAATAAATGACATATTTGTTAAAAACAAATTCTACCAGATCAAAAATGTTTTCTTGAAAACCTTGATGGTTAAGACAAAATAACTAATAAGCACGATACCTAAGTAGTATGACTTGCCTCCACCTATCATCTGAAACCTTCTACACCTAATGTGAGGACGGTTAATCCAATGATCAACTAACTCCTGGCAATATAACTACTACACATCACAAAGAATGATGCATTAGATGTATATTAGTTACGAGCATCCTCTCCTAACGACATGGTACGGCTTAAAGTAAAAAGTTCACTCTTCCTCACCCGCTCTCATACCCCGACGCGTTTATAGCCTCTGCCAGAGAAGTTTTAATCATACCTCCACGCAGTGAGACTGTCTACTTTATGTCATAATTAGACAACGATCCCAATAGTAAAAACCATTTTTACATGATTGAAATTATTATTATTATATATATTATATTCTTATTATATAACTCAACTACAAATAAGACTTTTTCCGTATCAATGTACAAGTGATCATGTGTTTATAGTTCCCAACAAAGAAGCCTTTCTCAGTACCTGCACTAGGCTGCATCTTTTATGAGAAATAGAAAGCGAAAAGACAACGTTCGGCGATTAAGTCTAATTGATAGATACAGAAGATTTACCTAGAAGTCGAAAAACTATGATTGCAAAACGGTGGTGTATATAAGCTCTAGAATACTGACGAAACGAATGGGGTATGAACTTATTTTTGGTTAACGACTGCCATGGGGATGCATCTGATGAAGTTGTCCGACTGCCTTGTGGACTAGATCTTGAAGCTAAAGGTTTGACGAATGTCCCTAACCGCGAGAAAACTAACTGCTTCACTTTGAGCTTTAGAGTAATATCTCAGTCCACATAGAAATTTTATGTGTAGCGCACATTATTTTTAGTTTTCAGTTATACCAAATTTCATGTGAGGTATATCAAGAATTCAACGAAATATAATATAATTTTTACTGAAAAGAAGAAGGAATAAAACACTAACTTGATATGAATTTTCAGGGGAGTTTTTATCCTTTTTTATAGTATTTTCTATTTCGTCTGAATGTCCGTTTTGAAGAGTCTGATTTGCTTGACAAATAACTCCATTACTTATTGATATCTCTTCATCGACATTATTAACTAGATTAGGGCTTCCCGATGAAATCGATGAAGACTCATACATTCGACCAATTTCGTGTAATTTTTTCTTTGTTAACTAAAGTTTCATTAGCGAAAAAAGATAGGTCATATTTGCATGTTTTAAGAAATGGAAGAACAGGTTGTATATTGACAATCGAAATTAGACCATAAATCTGAAATGAACAAAATACCAATGCAACTTCAACACTGACTTAGACACACGGTTATTTCCTTTGTTTCCCTGACCCTAGGAATTTAGTTGTGTTTTTTTCAATTTTACAATTTATTTAGTGCATTAAAAATATATCATGAACCTAGAAACCATATGCCCTGTAACAACTTTTCTTTATTCGCTATCTAGATTGTAATAGGGTCCTAAACTTTGTTAGGTTAGCACTCTATCCTTACATTATTAAGTGCAGAACATACTACAGTAAAAATAAACTATAACAAGTGAAATCTCTGCAACCAATTTTCAAATCCCAACACATACTACGTAGATAAGCAATCGCAAACGCAAGTTTAACGTACAAAAAACTTTTTTTTCTATCTTAAAAGCAGATGTGATGGGTTTAAACTAATAAATAATCCAGTCACTTGGTGAGTTGATTGTGAGAATTGAATTTAGAAATTCTATGTTCTAAAGACACTAAACCACTACCAACAGGAAAAAAATAGCTTTATACATCGGAATCGAGTTAAAATATCAAACCAGTTATCTAAATGGATCAAATACAAAAAATGATAGGGAAAACAATTTAAAACATTACATAAAAGTTTAATGGTCCATATGGTTACACATTAAAACAAAAAAGAAAATCATAGTTTTAAGATATATAGAAAAATTTGAGTTCAAGGAGAACAGTGATAAAACATTTAAGATCTGAAGGAAGATAAAGTGTTAATTTATTTGTATTATAGTGATTGATTTTGAAAGATGACAAGCAATATTTTCAGTCACTGAATTATTTAGCATTCATGAAGATAGTGATGATACAACATAAACGAAAACCATCAGACGAAATTAGACCATTCGTTAGCAAAGCAAAACATTCAAAGAAAAGTTAAGTTAAGCTTAACAAAAACACTCAGTAGTTACCCCTACATTTTCTACTATTCATCAATTTAATGAATAAGGTGCTTCTTTAACAACCCTAGAACTACTAAGTACATGATATCATGTACCGTCCTACAGTAAAGACTGTCGAACAATAAGCTTGGTAAATGGTTCTTTGAAGAATAATTCATTTACGATTATAGTTACCTTATAAGCACAAATGTCTCGTAATAACACAAAAAGGGAACGTTTTATAGGCTGACCATCACTAGTGATTACATCACATTATATATAACAACCCAAGAATACAAAGGCGGTGTCAAACAAAATCAATGTTACCAATGACAAAAGAAATTTCCACACATAAAAGCAGCTAATAAGATCTATTTAGTTAGCTCCCATATGCCCTAGTATGACCGAGAGCAGGGTGGGCCCGCCCTCCCTCTCCAAATGCTCTAACATGGCCGCGCGTATACAGCACCTGTCAGGGAAGTCCTACTCACTGCCTTCTCGTGGCGGGGTGTTGTTCACGAAAATGAGAGGACGAAAAGCGAATGTCCGGCGCTTTACCCGAATCCCAAACCAATGGTGCACATGGGCTCCAGCATCCTGAGGGAACAATCGTTGGTCACCGGCTACCATGGGACTGCATCTCCTCACAATGCTCTACTGCCTTGTGGGTCAAACCTTAAAGTTAAAGGCTCGGGGTGTGAACCCCCAAGAAAACCACCTGCTTCGGTCTGGGCACCCGGGTAGTATCACAGCCCACATACAAATTTGATGAAATGCCGATATTTGTGGAAAGTACTTGTCTTGCTTCGATTAACAATCAAACGATTCACATTATTATTTTTTTACGTCATTTATTCACTCCCTTTTATTCTCACTTTGTGTATCCTTATTTTTCCACTTATACAGCAGCTCGCCTATGGTGGAAACTCTGTTCTATCTAAACGTTCTCGACTCACTGTCCGGTTGAAGTCAGTCAGTCGGTCAGTCAGTCAGCTACAAAGTAGGACCAGGCACATATGTGCATCGGTCCAGGTTGCCATACCGCATCAGCACAACAAGATGAACACCGGATTCATAGCAGTGGTTAGGTCAAAGGTGGTAATATATGAGAGAAAGATTGCATATAGAAATATAGTACAAGAAAAAAGAATTGGTTCGTAAAAAGAAAGATATGGAGCGATTTTAATCTCTTAGTTTAAGGTAAGACAGGGAGTGTATACACCGACGCCATTGTGATCGATTCTGAGCCATGTCACCCAGAGTCTCCAACAATTGGTTACAATAGTCACGCGAACACAACCAAGTAGTCTGCATCTACCAACATGGCTCAGACTACAAGTTAGTGACTTCAAGCACTGATGCCACGTTTTGGTTTTGTTGCCCTTAACTTTCTTCCAACGGTAGTCAGCATTGCGCATCGTGATAATCAGTGTTCACGCATACGTAACACGCGGCCCAACTTTCTCAGTTGATGAAGATTCACAACCTCACCAACTGATTTACCATCATTTCCTAATACCCTGTGTCTAACCTCACTATTACTTACCCGGTGATCCCAGCAGACGCCGGCGATATTTCTAAGGCATCTGTGGTCAAATACTAATAGCTTACGAGTGTCTTCTACTCTTAATGGCCATGTTTCGCAGCCGTGAAGTAGAACGAAACGAACTGCCGCGCAGTATACTCGTCCTTTTATTGATAGACGGATATCTCGCCTTCTCCTTAGGTGACGTAAGTTGGCAAAAGCCAAACGAGCTTTTCGAATCCGTGCTGAGATTTCGTCCGATACCAACCCATTAGGGCTGATCAGACTTTCAACATAAGTGAACTTGTCAACATGTTCGACTACTTCACTCCCTATCCTTAGTTCAGGTATTGACGCAGACCAGTCCTGAAGCAACAACTTGCATTTAGAGGGAGAGAAGCGCATTCCACGCATTCTGGCATTGTTGCTTAGTGCTACAAAAGTCTCTGCATTTTGTCAGCGTCTTCACCAAACAGGACTATGTCATCTGCGTATTCTAAGTCGATAAGTGGACCTCCTGGAAGGAGATCAATACCCGAGAACTCAGTCGACGAGAAAGTGATTTCCATCAGTAGATCTATGATGAAGTTAAACAAAAATGGGGAAAGTGGACAGCCTTGACGGACACCACTTGAGGTTGCAAAAGTAGATGACAGTTCGCCATAAGCCCTGACTCGACTAGTAGTGTTCGAGTAAAGAGCCTTCACAAGGTTTATGTACTTCTGGGGTACGCCTTTCAATGACAGACACTGCCACAGAATCTCGCGGTCTACCGAGTCAAATGCTGCTTTTAAGTCGAGAAAGACCACCATTGTCGGACGCCGATAAGTATGCCTGTGTTCTAGAATCTGACGAATGGTGAATGTGTGGTCGGTGCAACCACGACCAGGTCTGAAGCCAGCCTGATTTTCCCGTGTTTGCAGTTAGTTCACGAGTCTTAGTTAAGCGGCCGATAATTAACGAGCCTAGTATTTTAGATACTATGCTAGTCAAACTAATCTCTGTAGGGTTATCGCAAGATGATTTTGACCCTCTCTTATATATTAAGACAATCAGTGATTGTGACCAGTTAGATGGGATAACGTCTAACTCCCAGATCTTAGCTAAAATATTAGTCAACCTAATCGCTAAAATTGGACCACCATCCTTAAAGACCTCTGGAGCCAGTCCATCTGGACCAGCTGCCCTTCCTCGCTCCAGATTAACTATAGCCTTTTTAACTTCAGCAAGAGTTGAGGAACCTACTTCAATGTTCCATTCACACTGTCTGGGAATGGAGGGTAGTTGTAGAGTAGCTGAAGGCCAGTTGAACTGTTCTCTGAAATGTTCCGCCCATCGTTCTAAACGTCTGGACTGGGAGCAGATGAGGGTGTCGTCTTTTTCCGAAATAATCTCACTTACACTTGACTTATTAATTCCAGTTTCTTTTATTAGTCTGTAAAGCTGTCTTGTGTTCCCTATAGTCGCCGCCTTTTCCATCTCTTTTGCTTTCGTTGCCCACCACTGCTCACGGTCGTTTCTTAAACTTTTTCTTAACCTAGATCTGATTTGTTGTCGCTCTTCGTCATGTTCGGAACCTGATAGGACGAGTTTGCGAGAATCCATCAGTGTGATAGACTTTGAGGAAATCCACTGGTTCTTTGTAACTCTGTGGTTTAAGTCGCTAATAGATGTTACTGCTGTCCGGTTGAAAATTGTATGCCACCACCAAATACGAATACTGAAGTAGTTTTTCTGAAACCACGTGCACCATTCAAACTGGTTGCCTTCAACGTTCGTACAATAATGCAGATCGGAAAACAGATAGGGTTGACTATGTCTTTGGAAAGTCTTAACATCGACGTTTGTTGCCTATCCGAGACCGGTATTCAAGACTCTGGTGAAGTATTACAAATTCACTCTCCATCTGTCGCTTCAAAAAGCCTGTTTTACGTGCGTTTATTCGAGGTCCCTGTGGTATCTTCGTCTGGTCTTGCTAGCGTTGGTGTCACACTAAGAGCTAGAGCTGAGGCAGCACTAGTCGATTGGATCCCCATTAACAGTCGGTTATGTGCTGTTAGATTAGAAAGTTCCATCAAAGTGAGAAGAAATCGGCGTGAGAAACGATGTCTTTTCGTCATCTCCGCCTATGCCCCGACAGATTGCAGCCCGGATGCAATCGAGGATGAATTTTACCACCAGTTAACTGTTCTCCAGAAAGTGCGTTCGATAGATATTGTAGTACTAGCCGGAGACTTGAATGCTCAGGTCGGGCGTCTAGGCACAAAAGAGAATCGTTTAGGTGGCCGATGGGGACTTGTTGGTCGCAGGACAGATAACGGGGACCGTCTACTGCAACTGTGCACAGACCACAACCTGTTTCTGGCTAGCACTAACTTTCGGCACAGTCATCGCCGATGTGCCACCTGGCGTCCTCCCTCTGCATCTCAAGCCTGGACTCAGATTGATCACATCGCGATCAGCTACCGCTGGCGTGGTTGTGTACAAGACTGCCGCTCCTTTTGGAGTACCTATCTGGACTCTGACCATGCCTTGGTCTGCGCCAATCTTACCTTACTTTTCAGTGGCCAACGAAGTGACCGCCACCAAAGGATTGATGTTAGCAAGCTGGTTGCAACTTCTGTTGCAAGTAAGTATCGAACCGAGCTAGCCTCTAGGCTAGCTACCACTCCACCGAAAAGTATAGATGAGCATTGGTTGCAATTGCATGACGCCATGAAAATGGCGGGAACAGTCAGTTGTGGGTTCGCGAAACGTCCCGCTTATAAGCACTGGGTTTCTCTTTGCTCCTTACAACTCATTGAAGCCCGTCGGTCTACTCCGGGTGACCGTGAGTTTGACCACAAACGAAGGATGTTACGTAAGGAAATCGGGCAAAGCTTGCGTAAGGACCGAGAAGCCTGGTGGTCGAAGCGTGCTAATGAGCTGGAAGCAGCAGCTGCATCTGGTAATTACCGGAAGCTCTTTCAACTCATCCGAGCCACTGGCAGCAAGAAGTCTGGTGTGAGTGAAACAATCTGCGAGGATGATGGGATGCCAATCACTAACATCCATCGACGTCTTGGACGATGGGCAGAATTTTTCGAAGGGCAGTTCAACTGGCCTGCTGCTCCGGCAACATCGGTCAGACTGTCCTGCCCTCCATGGCCGGTGACGACTGATCCACCAAACGAGGAGGAAGTCCGCAAGGAACTCCAACTCTTGAAGCGTTACAAATCACCTGGCCCAGATGACTTACCTCCGGCTCTTTTTAAAGATGGTGGTGACTTTTTGACTAAGGAATTGACGACGTTGTTTACAAAGGTTTGGGAACTAGAGAGTGTACCAACGTCATGGAATGAGTCGATAGTTGTCCCTATCTTTAAAAAGGGTTCACGTCGTTCCTGTAACAACTATCGGGGGATAAGTCTACTTCCGATTGCGTCCAAGCTATTGGCTTCCGTCATACTTCGTAGGTTGTTCAAAACCCGAGAAAGATTGACTCGCGAGGAGCAGGCTGGGTTTCGTTCTGGTCGAGGATGTATTGATCATATCTTCACCCTCCGCCAAATGTTAGAACACCGCCATACTTATCAAAGGCCAACAATCGTAGTGTTTCTTGACATCAGGGCTGCCTTCGATTCGTTGGACAGGACTGTTCTCTGGGATTGTCTATTGAAGAAGGGTGTGCCTGAGAAGTTTATTAACATCCTAAAAGCCCTATATAAAAACACCTCAGGCAGAGTGAGGGCATACAACCACCTCTCTCCATTGTTCCATTCGAGCAGTGGGGTTAGGCAGGGTTGCCCAATCTCACCATTCCTCTTCAACTTTGCCATCGATGACATTCTGGAAACAGCTCTGATGAATGTAAGTAATGGTGGTGTGGATCTGTTGCCTGGAGAAAGACTTCTCGACCTTGAGTATGCGGACGATATTGTCTTACTGTGCGATAATGCCCAAGGCATGCAATCCGCACTTAATCAGTTGGCAATCAGTGTCCGTAGGTATGGTATGTGCTTTGCACCTTCGAAGTGCAAAGTACTTCTACAAGACTGGCAGGATTCTAATCCTGTACTCACCCTGGATGGTGAGCAGATAGAAGTAGTCGAGAAGTTCGTGTATCTGGGTAGCTGCATAAGTGCTGGTGGGGTGTGAGTGATGAGATCAATGCACGTATAGTGAAAGCCAGAGCGGCTTATGCCAATCTGGGCCACCTTTGGCGCCTTCGTGATGTTAGTCTGGCTGTAAAAGGTCGGATCTACAACGCGTCGGTGAGAGCAGTTTTGCTCTATGCTTGTGAAACCTGGCCTCTCCGAGTTGAGGACGTTAGACGACTCTCTGTGTTCGATCATCGCTGTCTCCGAAGGATTGCTGACATTCAGTGGCAACACCATGTCAGTAATGCAGAGGTTCGGCATCGTGTGTTCGGGCACAGAGATGATAATCAATTGGTGTCACCATCTTGAAACACCGACTTCGGTGGCTTGGACATGTTCCACGAATGTCGTCCCAGAGAATTCCACGTCGTGCATTATTTGCCGACTCTGGGACTGGTTGGAAAAAGCGGAGAGGTGGTCAGTGCATGACATGGTGTCGTGGTATGAAAGAAAGCTGCAAAGGACTGGCTTGTGTTGGTCCTTCACGACTCCCTGGTTGGGGTCCTAGAGATGGTGCTACATAGTGGCTAGAGACGTTATCAGATATGGCTCAGAATAGAAGCCAGTGGCGATCCTGCTGTAACCTTCTTTTACTTTCTTCATAAAAAATGGTTGTTTCTTCCTTAACTGAAAGATTTCTTCTAATTGTACCATACCGTTTCCCCCGGTATTATTATTGCACTACCTTACACCAATCTGTTCGTTATTGTTCTTTTTTACGCTCCTTACCTTTTTTCCTCTTCGAATACTCACTGTTTTGTGTGGCGAATATATATTTGGTGACGCCTTGTATCAATATTTATATGTTCAAATAAAGAAATGATAATAATAAGTAAACAGGTTGAACAGTTCATACTAATTTGTCTCATATACTACCCATGACTAGAAAAGCAAAGCTTACGAACCTTATTCTTTAACAAAAATAAACCATTGTAAGCAATAATAAAAATCAGTGGTTTATTTGTGGTGATACTTACGTTTTTTGGAGCCAACCGACAAGCAATCATGTGCTTTAGTCGATATCGTTTTTCTGAGAATGGGCGCGTGCAGTACAAACATTGAAAAACGGACTTGTTAGCCAAATTACTTTGATTTTGAGTTGAGATAAGCTCCTCCTTTGTGGGTAGATAAGATGAAAGTGATAAATAATATTAATAACTAAGTTTAAAACAAAACAAAGTGCACTTATTCAAAAACATAACCGACCGTATCCACCATTAGGGTTTGTCTATTGTGACGAGCCAGTCGACCTATATTTGTTGAAACACTCGTTTGTTTTAGGTCCTACCGAGCCATGTAGGTTTGTCGAGAAGCAGTAAGATAAAAGGCAGCAATTTAAACTACCAGGGTGGAACAGCACCGCTGAGTGTATTGAGGTGTGAGGGCGGTAAGGCATTTTCTTCAGTCAACATATAGAACGATGTCCTTTTGGTTACCAGATGGTCAAGTTCGCTACTAATTCAGTCCCTGAAGACGTATTCTTCCACGGTGTAGGTAACTGGAAAGTGATGACCACCTACGTATCTCTAAAAGAACCTGATATTACATTGTTAGCGATCAAATCCCGTTCCAGCTATCGACCCTTCTGTGTCTCTGGAAACGCTTCTGTTGATTGCGGTTCAAACGAAGCAGCAGATTAATCTTAGATGAAACCTGTTGGTCTTAGGAATGCTGGAAGCTGAAGTGAAGTAATCGTACCATATGATTCGATTGCTAGTTCTCGTGAACTGGCGATATAGACATAGCACTAAGTACGAGGGCAGGACAGGCACTATAAGAATGGATACCCGTTAACAGTCGCATATGTGCTGTTTGGCTAGACGGCTCCGTAAAATTTCGAAAGGATAGGCGCACACGTCGTTGCCTTTCGTCGTCTCTGCCTACGCTCCCACCGACTGCAGCTCAGATGAAGTGAAAGATGAATTTTACACAAAGCTATCTGAACTTCTTCAGAAAGCTAAACGTTCAGAAATAGTACTCGTAGCAGGTGACTTTAATGCCCAGATAGGTAGTTTAAACCAAACAGAAAGGCATTAAGGTGGGTATTTTAGTATTCCGGGTCAGCGAACAGATAATGGTGATCGCCTGCTGCAACTGTGCTCAGACAATCGTTTATTTTTAGCAAACACTAATTTTAAGCATAAAGAGAAACATCGTCTAACATGTCGACCCCCTGCATCAAACTAATGATAGACTCAAATAGACCATATTTCCATCAGTCATCGTTGGAGAGGGTCGGTAGAAGATTGCCGCTCATTCTGGAGTACCTGCTTGGACTCCGACCATGTCCTAATACGGGCACTCAAGAAAGCCACAGTAAAAAGACCCATTAGAACTGAACTGAGTAGTGAGAAAACCGAAATTAGGTCCCAGGAACAACTGAGGTCACACTTAGGTAGTTCTGAAAACGAGGCTGACCCAGATGTTGCTTGGAAAGATATACAAACAGCAGTGACATCTCTCAGTGATTTAAACCACAGGGTTACAAAAAACCAATGGATTTCTTCTAAGTCTATTGCACTGATGGATTTTCGTAAATTCATCCCATCAGGTTCTAAACACGACGAAAAGTGAAAGCAAATCAGATCTAGGTTAAGCAAAAATCTAACGAACGGCCGTGAGCAGTGGTGGGCGACGAAAGCAAGAGATAAAAAGGCAGCGGCTACAGGGAACACAAGACAACTCAATAGACTAATAAAAGAAACTGGAATTAATAAGTGTAAGACCATCTCGGAAAAAGACGACACTTATCTGCTCCCAGTCTAGACGTTTAGAACAACGGGAGGAACATTCTAAGGAGCAGTTCAGCTATCTTCAGCTACTCTACAACTATCCACCATTCCCAAATAGCGTGGATGGAACACTGAAGTAGGTCCCCCGACTCTATCTGAAGTTCAAAAGGCAGATGGGTTGGCTTCAGAGGTCTTTAAGAATGGTGGTCCAATTTTAGCGATTAGGTTGACTAATATTTTAGCTAAGATCTGGGAGTTGAACGTAATCCCATCTAACTGGTCACAATCACTGATTGTCTTAATATATAAGAGAGGGTCAAAATCATCTTGCGATAACCCTACAGAGATTAGTTTGACTAGCATAGTATCTAAAATACTAGGCTCGTTAATTATCGGCCGCTTAACTAAGACTCGTGAACTAACTGCAAACACGGGAAAATCAGGCTGGCTTCAGACCTGGTCGTGGTTGCACCGACCACACATTCACCATTCGTCAGATTCTAGAACACAGGCATACTTATCGGCGTCCGACAATGGTGGTCTTTCTCGACTTAAAAGCAGCATTTGACTCGGTAGACCGCGAGATTCTGTGGCAGTGTCTGTCATTGAAAGGCGTACCCCAGAAGTACATAAACCTTGTGAAGGCTCTTTACTCGAACACTACTAGTCGAGTCAGGGCTTATGGCGAACTGTCATCTACTTTTGCAACCTCAAGTGGTGTCCGTCAAGGCTGTCCACTTTCCCCATTTTTGTTTAACTTCATCATAGATCTACTGATGGAAATCACTTTCTCGTCGACTGAGTTCTCGGGTATTGATCTCCTTCCAGGAGGTCCACTTATCGACTTAGAATACGCAGATGACATAGTCCTGTTTGGTGAAGACGCTGACAAAATGCAGAGACTTTTGTAGCACTAAGCAACAATGCCAGAATGCGTGGAATGCGCTTCTCTCCCTCTAAATGCAAGTTGTTGCTTCAGGACTGGTCTGCGTCAATACCTGAACTAAGGATAGGGAGTGAAGTAGTCGAACATGTTGACAAGTTCACTTATGTTGAAAGTCTGATCAGCCCTAATGGGTTGGTATCGGACGAAATCTCAGCACGGATTCGAAAAGCTCGTTTGGCTTTTGCCAACTTACGTCACCTAAGGAGAAGGCGAGATATCCGTCTATCAATAAAAGGACGAGTATACTGCGCGGCAGTTCGTTTCGTTCTACTTCACGGCTGCGAAACATGGCCATTAAGAGTAGAAGACACTCGTAAGCTATTAGTATTTGACCACAGATGCCTTAGAAATATCGCCGGCGTCTGCTGGGATCACCGGGTAAGTAATAGTGAGGTTAGACACAGGGTATTAGGAAATGATGGTAAATCAGTTGGTGAGGTTGTGAATCTTCATCAACTGAGAAAGTTGGGCCGCGTGTTACGTATGCGTGAACACTGATTATCACGATGCGCAATGCTGACTACCGTTGGAAGAAAGTTAAGGGCAACAAAACCAAAACGTGGCATCAGTGCTTGAAGTCACTAACTTGTAGTCTGAGCCATGTTGGTAGATGCAGACTACTTGGTTGTGTTCGCGTGACTATTGTAACCAATTGTTGGAGACTCTGGGTGACATGGCTCAGAATCGATCACAATGGCGTCGGTGTATACACTCCCTGTCTTACCTTAAACTAAGAGATTAAAATCGCTCCATATCTTTCTTTTTACGAACCAATTCTTTTTTCTTGTACTATATTTCTATATGCAATCTTTCTCTCATATATTACCACCTTTGACCTAACCACTGCTATGAATCCGGTGTTCATCTTGTTGTGCTGATGCGGTATGGCAACCTGGACCGATGCACATATGTGCCTGGTCCTACGTTGTAGCTGGTTGACTGACGTAGTTGTCTGCTGTAACTATGTTCAGACAATCATTTACTTCTAGTAAGCACCAACTTAACATATACGGAGAGACAATACCTAACATGGTGATCCCAAAATTTGATTCAACGATGGACTCAAACAGACTATTACCACCGGCCACTGTTGGAGAAGCCTGAGAGAAGATTACCTTTTCCTTTCGCTCACATATTCAAACTTTCATCGTGAGTTATTGTGAGCACACATTCGAATGACTTCTTCTAGGTGGAAAAAAGTTACAACAATAATGGTTCAGCTCAACAATGCAAAAGTTGGGTTTATGTATGAGGAACCAGAGAAGCATTTATCACTTTTAAAAGTGATGTTTGCCCCGATGGGATATGACATGAAAGCTAAACAGTTGTACATCAGTGAACTAAACTAAAAGGTTCGAAAAGTAAATCAATTTCGATGGTGTCTACTGCGTTGGCACACGATGAGAAACTCATCTCAATAGGCTCCGAACAGGATCGGGAGAAAAGACAACTTATATGTAGATTGATGGAGAGTTTATGTAATGATAGTGAGCAGTGGTGGGCAACGAAAGCGAAAGACACGGAAAAGACAAAAGGTAATTGTTAAAACAATACAGTTGTTCAGTAACCAATTGCAGAGATGTTTAATGATGGTGATTCAGTTTTAACACTTAAGTTAACTGAGAGAGATAAGCTGATGTTAGACGCACAGTACTAGCTAAGGATGGCAAAACAATTGATAAGGTAATGAATCTTTATCAACTGAGGTGGTTGAGAAATGTTTAACGTATTACCCAATTACCGCCTACCTAAAGGAGCGATGTTTGACAGTGTAGGAATAGGATTGAAACTAGGGGTAGGTAAACGAGAACGTCCATGAGCTGTGTTGGTAGGTGCAGACAACTTGGTTAGGGTCAGGGAGATTTCCATAGCGATTGGTCGTAGACATTGGGTAACAGCGCAGAACTGGTCATAATGGTACATCTATGATCACTTCGTTTCCACTTAGACAAAGTTTTTTAAAAATTATCTCATACATTTCTATTCCACGAATTGATCCATTGTTCTCAAATGATGCTACTCATGCTTAAATATTCTCCATAACCATTGGTACCGTTACTAATTCTATTAGTCTGGCATTTATTTTGATTTCATCTTGTGCTGATATGGTGCGGTGACTTGAGAAGACCCATATTTGCGCCCGTTTCTACGTTAATGACTGGCTCAAAATCAATACGTGGATTATTTTTACGTATGTTTCCTTATATAAATACACAGCTTCCCATAAAATAATACGAGGAATAGTACGGTTACTATAACAACCTATAACACATGTTTCAAATTTATTGTGAAATGGAGTACTGCGCCAAAGGTGCAGATAAGTGACCACTAAAAAGTTTAAAAAAACATAAATCGCCCAAATAATAGTTCCGGCTTTACGTAAATTATAGGAGATAAATGGGTTTGTTTACTTGGTTACTAGGCCAATTTATGCTATGAACGTCAATAAAATGGCTTGGATGTTCAAGATACTGTATGTGGTGAGAGGTGAAAACGTACAATAATAATAATAATAATAATAATAATAATAATAATAATAATAATAATAATAATAATAATAATAATAATAATAATAGTAATGGTAATAATAATAATAATAATAATAATAAAAGAAGAAGAAGAAGAACACAACCCCGTCCATCAAGTTCTTGGATGTGAGCTGCGCTTCAAATGCAACCTCTAATGATAATATCCGGTTGCGCAAATCGGATTAGGTGGAGCGGGGTTCGAACCTGGTACGTAGTAGGCATATAACCCGCAGGGATCAATAATCAATTAATACTAAAATACATGTGACATTATCTAGAAAGGAATTCTATTTAGCTTCCGAGTTTAACTTATTTTACTCAAACGAAATTTGTGCTTTAACTACTAATCTAATTGGAATCCACAACTGCAGGTGAACAGTTGTATTCATTGATCAAGCACATGAACAAAACGCTTCAAAAATCTTAAAAACGATAGGTCTTCACTAACGAAATTTTCTTCATAATGGTCCAAAATACATAAATATATAATTTAATGTTTTTGAAACATTGCAAATACCTTTGGAAGTTTGGATGACTTTTTCAATCTTAAAGATGGCCGTTGTGTTGCCACATGAGTAATCGTGAATGAATTATTGGCCAATGAATGATTTTGCTGAGATGCAATACTTCCGCTGAGTTCTCTTAAGTTTAATTCATTAGATATATGATTATCATGATCACAGGCACCACATAGAGAGCGACATGACACCTTTTGACAATGTATTGAATTCTACAATTATAAAGGTCGGTAACAAATTTTTGAAATATATACCAAATACATAACATGAAAAATCCCCATAATACAAGGAATTTATAGTACGACTAACTACCCCGTTTAATTACGTGAGATCGTTCGCTACTTTTACTAAAATATAACATACTTCGGCCCCTAATTATTAAAAATGCATACAGAGATAATTCTGGGCTTTTCTCAAAGTGAATTATAATTTTCTGGCAGGAGCATTGTCGGTTAAGATTAGATAATGCACCACGAACAAAGTTCCGTAACGAAGAAAGATAAATATTATTTTATAATAAGACGGGTTTAGTACAGTCAAAATCGTTGTTTTGTTCACCAAAGGAGCTAAATTGTTAGTTTTAAGTTAAGAAAATGAGGCAAATATCACATGTTAGCTAAAAACAGCCAATAACTGAGACGTGAAACAATACATACTCTTAGAAAAATATTAACATGATAATTGTTTCGCGGGTAAAGTGCTTAGTGCTTTCTCGTCATTTACTGAAAAGTGTTCTCTGTATTTTTGAGTGAAGCACGACCAGACATTTGTATAGTGTATAGAGATTACGACAGTTAGGTATAAAACAAATTGTGATATAAAACATAGATTATTTAAGTAACCTTTTTAAAATATTCACTTATTTGTGTAGTATCCAGTTGGTAAGTTATCAAATTAATAAGATACAGGACAAAAAATATTGTGAAGAGGTAACATGTAACTTGATAGATTTCCAATTAGGATTTTTACGTTCCCTGGAGAACAAAATAACCCAGGTGAGGCAATTTGCCTAGCTAAAATTAAATTTTCTATCCCTGCCAGCTACTAGAAATGCCCATCCAGAAACTCCATCGTAGTGAAGTTTAAAAGCCCCGTACTAGGTTTTAATTTTTTAAAAACTTACACCGGTATCAAAAGCAAAATCAGGCGACTGCACACCGTTGTGCAAATTTTCCTTTGCTATGCATGTAAAAGTGTCTTTTGTTCTGCGAATTCGAACTGAAGGTGACAACTTTCTTTTTTTACTGTTATGATTGCCAATGATAATTTTTTGGTTCTGCCTTTGAGAGTGTATATCTAGCTGGTCTGAAGATACTTCGGAGTCATTGGAGGCAGTGGCAAAATGGGACGATCTTCGTTTTCTCGTTTCAGCACGGTTTTTAACTGGGATACTTGATAAAGTGAAATCAGGACTGCTGAAATCAGATGATTCGCCTCCCCTTGCAGGGACACTTTTACTGTGATGTTCTTCGGAAGACGAATAGCCACCATTAGTTAATAACTTGTCATGTTCTGTACTACACCGAAGAGGTGCTAACTTTACATTTCCAACAAATTCGTTTGCTTTTATAGGAGATAAGCAAGGGGATGCACGACTATCACCTTCTTGTTTTGATTTAATTGGAGATCTTGAATCTGTCGTTTTTGTAACTAACGTTCGAGATAAATCATCAGTTTTTAACGACAGATTTCGAGGCTTTTTAGGTAGATTTATAAAACTGTCCCAGTCTAAAAGCGACCGTCTTGCTTTCTGTGGATATTCACTTGAACTGTGTAAATTTGAGTGGTTTGAATGCGAACCAGCTGAAGTAAACGTCATCTGTCCATCACTTGAGCTTTCTTTGGATTCATTAATATTTTTCTGACTTACAACAACGTCACATACATCTCCAACGGATGAATGCTTTATGCCAACCTTTTGGCAATCATATTCCTTGACTGTTTTATTCGAAGTCGAATTTAAATGAAGCACTCCACTTGAATCTGAAACATAACAAGTGACCTTTTTAAATATCTGGTTAACATTCGTAGACAGGAGAGCAAACTTTATCTATTGGATATGGAATAGGTTGTCAATTACCGAAAAAAAGCGTTTAATGTAATTTAGTTAACCTGGTAATCAGATATAACTTTTACATGACGAAACCACAATTATTTTGTGTAGACTGACAATACTAGCTTGTGGTTCAAGCGGAAATTGAGTGAAAACTAATGGTTCGGGGGTTACAAAATGATTAGAACACAGTAGTTTTGAGCACTGTTTCTAAATAACAGGCTGCCGGTTCAAACCCTAATTCAATTATAGCAGTTTGGGCAGTCGGAAAGTAACAACATCATGGAGTGCTGCCTAAAGCTGAATAAACAAAACTGCTCTCAAAAATGAGAACTCCAAGCCGAAATTTCAGTTACGATGTAAAGAAACTGTTACTGTGTAATAACCACTAACACTACTAAATAAATTCAATAACATACAAGTAAGCCATATTCTTAAGAAATTAGTCGTGATAAATGTTAAAACTAATTCACAAAACCAGGTATTAGGATTATAAATATAAGCTTATCATAAATTGCTTCGAATCCTCACTAAAATAGGCCAAAAATAAGGGATTCAGTAAGATATTCATGAATCACGGACCCCGTATCGTTTGTGTAAATAAGCTAGAAAAAAACACCGAAGATAATTATGCTACGTACCTTCAGAGAACTTCATGATGTACTGCCCTAATTATTCTGTAGCTTTTGAAATCTGTTTTTGATCATATGTATCACAAGTAGAATTTGCTGGGATCCTCCTTCAGATGACAAAATTTGAAACAGAACCAACTTATTCATATTTTTAAAAATACATTTGTGTTTGTGTTTTCACTGGGAAGATTATCGGAGCAATTACACTGTATGCAGCAAAATAAAGACAGATGACTTTATAAAAAGTTGAAAGCAAAGAGAAAGACATATGGCATATTAACAAAAGTAGCGACAAATTTGTGATAGAAGGAAAAAGAACTCGCACATAAAATAAGTCATTGAATATTCTCAAGAAATCAGACGACACAATGTTTTCTATTATAAAATATCAGAGATAAATAATCAAGTCCTATACTAGTCATGATCTTCCTTATCGTTCACATCAACTGGTCTCTATCAACCGCGTGTTATTTCGGTATGCTGGACAGGCTCATCAATTGTGACAACCTAAGCGAGTTTATACGTGAGTGCTTGCAGTCTTAGAAGAAATTCCAGAAACCAAGAAGTCTTGGAGAAAGAAGTATGTGTCACTGAGTTACTTTATTCGTAATATGGGGGTAGTCAGTCAGTCAGTCAGCCAGCTACAAAGTAGGACCAGGCACATATGTGCATCGGTCCAGGTTGCCATACCGCATCAGCACAACAAGATGAACACCGGATTCATAGCAGTGGTTAGGTCAAAGGTGGTAATATATGAGAGAAAGATTGCATATAGAAATATAGTACAAGAAAAAAGAATTGGTTCGTAAAAAGAAAGATATGGAGCGATTTTAATCTCTTAGTTTAAGGTAAGACAGGGAGTGTATACACCGACGCCATTGTGATCGATTCTGAGCCATGTCACCCAGAGTCTCCAACAATTGGTTACAATAGTCACGCGAACACAACCAAGTAGTCTGCATCTACCAACATGGCTCAGACTACAAGTTAGTGACTTCAAGCACTGATGCCACGTTTTGGTTTTGTTGCCCTTAACTTTCTTCCAACGGTAGTCAGCATTGCGCATCGTGATAATCAGTGTTCACGCATACGTAACACGCGGCCCAACTTTCTCAGTTGATGAAGATTCACAACCTCACCAACTGATTTACCATCATTTCCTAATACCCTGTGTCTAACCTCACTATTACTTACCCGGTGATCCCAGCAGACGCCGGCGATATTTCTAAGGCATCTGTGGTCAAATGCTTGTAGCTTACGAGTGCAGTCTTATGACCATCAGCAACAATGCAGGCATGTTCGGGATGCGATTCTCCCCCTCGAAATGTAAAATGTTGCTTCAGGATTGGGTTGCATTGACACCCGAACTAATGACAGGGAGTGAAGTAATTGAGCGTGTCGATCGCTTCACTTATCTTGGAAGTCTCATCAGCCCTTGTGGTCTGGTGTGTGATGAAATCTCAGCACGGATACAGAAGGCTCGAATAGCTTTTACCAACTTGCGTCAGTTATGGCGTAGGCGAGATATCCGTCTATCAACCAAAGGACGGGTTTACTGCACAGCAGTTCGTTCCGTCCTACTTTATGGCAGTGAAACATGGCCGGTAAGAGTAGAGGATATTCGTAGGTTACTAGTATTTGGTCATAGGTGTCTTCGAAATATTGCTCGTATATCCTGGGACCATCGAGTAAGTAACGCAGTTGGTAGGAAACGGGTACTAGGTAAGGATGGCAAATCAATTGATGACGTAGTGAAACTTCATCAGTTGAGATGGCTTGGACACGTGTTACGTATGCCCAACGACCGACTGCCTCGACGTGCGATGTTCAGTGGTATAGGAGTAGGTTGGAAGAAAGCTAGTGGCGGCCAGACCAAAACATGGCACAAGTCCATGAAGTCACTGACAAGTGGACTGAGTCATGTTGGTATGTGTAGAGTACCTGGTTGGGGACCGCGAGATGATAGCAACCGATGTTTAGAGACCCTGAATGGCATGGTTCAAAATCGTTTGCAATGGCGCAGGTGCATACACTTTGTGTTCTCTCAAATTTTGATCTTATCCCTCCTTGTCTCTTTTTTTCTCTTCCCAAATTTATTTCACTGTATTATACTCTTTAAATAACATCTCCAAACACTAATTTTCCCGATTACTGCTTATACTCTTATTACCTCTATCACTACGGGATTTGAGTCGATCATTGAATCTTTGTGCTAATATGGTGTGGCAACTCGAACTGATGTACGTACGAAGTTCTACGTTGTTACTGACTGACTGATTGTCTTCTACTTTTAATGGCCATGTTTCGCTGCCGAAGGTGGTTACTTCGTTACCGGAAATATGGGGGTAGGACTATCTGTAAATATGCTGTGTATTTTACGAAGACAGACCTTTAGGATCACAGGTTATAAAGTCGTTTACATGGGTATATACTTGCAATCAGTGTTAGCTATTCCACCCAATTCGGTCGACCGAAGGTTTAATGCTAGAAAAAATTGAAGCGAAATATAATGCATTATAGGTTAACAAGATGAAAATTCTTTAAAAAGAATTCATCGAAAAAGTTTACAGGTTACCCAACTTGAATGAAGAATGATAGGGTCTTTGATACTAAAGTGGTTACTCGCGGATGAGAACAATGATGTTTAGTCATAATATTCACACTCTACTCATGAAATAACTGCCTAACAGCTTCTATAGTTTAAATATGTTGGATCGATCTATCCAAACAACCTTATTTGAATGTATGGACGGCATGGTGGAGAAGATTTGTAGCTCAGGTGGATGATTTCGGTGGAGTTTTGTTCTCTGAGCTGGATGGTTTGGTCGTGGAGCTTTCATCGTTCTTCTGAACAAAAATCAAACCAATGGGAGACAAAACCAAAACAAAGAAGTAAACAATGACAAATTTAAGGTCAATAAGGACCAATCAACATCGAGGTGCACAGAACAAGCAGTGAAACACATATGGAGAAATTCAAACACTTCACTTCTATCTGAAGTTTGTGCTGATGATGTCGTTCAGAAGAACGATGAAAGCTCCACGACCAAACCATCCAGCTCAGAACAAAACTCCACCAAAAGTATGGACGGTATAAATAATGGCCAATAGGTGCATGACATTGTCAGTCGATACCAACCCTACTACTAGCGGCAAAAGATAGTTTTGTATCCTGACCAAACAAGTTGGTCCGAAAACAACGAATGGATGATTGAACAAGTAACCACTGGAAACGAATATCAGCAGATGTCATGAAACAAACGGATAACGACAATACTCACTAGTTTGTAATTAATGAAGTACTGTCCAGTTTAAGCCTGAAAATAGCTGTAAAAGGGGAAATTCAGTGCAGAATGCATGAAGACAGAGACTAATGTCTACCGGACACTGTAATCACTTTTGTAAAGCCTTCCAAATAACAGGTGAAAATGTGTCATACTTTCCAACCGGTACCCTAGATGTAATCAGGAACATGCAGTTTCAACACCACTTTCCATAATTCATGGTCTTGGTCCCGCGCTTAACTGTAGGCTAAAGAATGATTTTGCTACAATATCATGTATACCAAACGATTTGTATGATTTAGTTGTGCCGTTCAAAATAGAGGCCATTAGATAAATCAAATATGGTAATAAGGCTTGTTTTCATCATAAAATCTTAAATTATTTAGACTACTTATCGTAAAACATGGCCCAGACACACTTAGACATTTTGAAGGAAGGCAAAGATCTTATTAGTACTCCAAACAAAGTATAATGCAATTAATAGACTCCCTCTATGTAGCTCTCAGATCCACTTGGTGTAGTGATGGCTCTATTGAATGAATCAATCGAAAGAGGTTATGCACAGACACAGAACTAATAGGTCCGACAAGTAAACACTTTACTTCTCTGAGTTACCCACTAAGTCATTAAAATAGCAATTTCGTAAGCACCATAGGGATATCAGTGAGATAAATATGAGTGAGGTTCTCTTTAACGCCCCAGAATCAGTTTCAGAAGTATACACGCTGAAGCGTTATAACGTCTCACGGAGAACAGCTATCCAAAAATGTAGGCTATAGTGAACAGTGCGTAGAATTACGAAGGAAATACGATTAGATTTTATTTAACACTACATTTTGTCCGGGTCACAAACCTTTTATTGCGTTCTCGAAACTAACTAACAGAGTAAAGACAAGGTCAAATTTCGCAAAATCCCCTTTACCGCGCACAACTACAAATTGAAATGGGACCACTGAAATGGGTTCAAATAAATCCCATTTGTAACTCATAGATTTTACAAACTAATATGTACCACTTTATCAAGCATCTTCCATTGCATGATACTAAATTATTTCCATGGGCCTCGTTTTCGGTTCTAAAGGGTCATTCTTTGGTTATGTAGAGCCAGTGAAATAACACGGTCCTTGCCAAATCATCCAGGATACAGGTCACTGAATATCAAACGGTTTGCCAACCCTTTTCAACGTCAAGGACAACCGACACGCACTAGTTAATTACATGCCTTGTACTAGCCTATGCGGCAGTGGTCGCACTCTGTATCTTGTACCAGTTCTTACCAACACATCTCTGTATAATCGTTATTTCCTTTTTACAGTCATCAAAGTAGCCACACTAACTGGACACGACGAAAGGCTAGTCCATATTACGTACTAACAGCGGCGTGTAACTTCGACGTAGGCTGGATGGTCACACCATACCCGTCCAACTCGAGTAGGCCCCCAATCAACGACTCAGGTCACCTACGTTGGTAATCTATAGTTGTCGAGCTCGAGCTTATATGAGGATAATGTTCCAAACGACGTCGCTAAATATGAAGGCATTTGCCTTCCTGTCATGTCAACGGAACCTTTGTTCGACTTCAACTTTAATAACTTCAGTTAAAGTCGTGTCATTTTATTACGTTTATCACTTAAATTATATGTATTTTTACTACCATTTTGGTGGTTCAGCTTCGACAGAGATTAACAACACTGGTACTAGTTTTTCAATAACTCGCACATCCATATACACTAGTACTCCCCTGACATTTCGGTACGCTGTCACGGTTTCAGATTGTCACGCATATACAATGTTCGGTTTTGCTCACCAGTATAGTCAATCCCATTTGTATATGTGGCAGTAAAGAATCGCCAAGGTAAACAATTCAGTGATTACAAGTGATTGACCGCCGGGTGGTGATCAATGTCATGCTTGTCTAGTCTTTATTAGTGCAAATCGAATGCTATCGATCATGTTGCAATATGGCCACCAGTCTAGGAGACTCGACACTGCGGGCACTATATATTGAGGTTTAGATGGTGGTTGGAGGTAGTCAACAGAAAACCCTGGACCCGGGTTTCGTGCTACTTGGCACTCGTCAGCGTCTCAATATATAGTTGTCCTTCATGAACATCTTCAGGTTTGACTAGACTTGGGATCTTCGATAACGATGATTTTGCGAACGACGTTGCCGTCAACCCTCAATGGTGACCTTGATGTGATTTCGTAAACGATAAACTGTGAGTTGTAACATTATTTGTGTACTTTTTACGCATGTCGACATTAATTCTCTATACTCGGGTGTTTTTCGCACATTTTACTTTTTAAGCCTCGTGACTTCCAAGGATTAATACACGTACACCCCCACCTTGCGACTCATGCCATTCTGGTCTGACAATATCGAATCCAGGCTGTGCTATGCATATGATAACTTCCATGAGCATAGAGTGACAGACCACGTCGTCACAGCGGTGAAGCCATAACCGTGCGACTTAGACCAGAACGTTACACCGAATATGTTTGCGTTTTGATGCATCCGAACTTTACGAAACTTTGAAAAGGGGCATCCTTAAATGTGGAGATCCGACCCATTGACAAAGGTAACGTCATCTACTTCACAGTATCGAGTTGTAGCATAGCTTGACAATGGAAATGTTGCTGCTTGTGTGAAAAGTCACTAGTGGACGAAAATTTTCAAGCAAATATTATCTAGGCTCCCCCAACAGCTACAAGCGTCTCATTTCAATGTAACGCCGTAACCAAACTGGCCTCATCTGATAGCTGGACACTTAGGATAACTAGAACCCCCGGTTACAACAAGAAAAGGCTTCGGCTAACTCTAAACGAAAACGCAGATCTCTACAGTACTCTCAGTCGTTTCCTGAACACTCATCATGATCTCAGACGCTCCGAAACCTGGTACAACACCATAATCGACTCCTCGATATATATAAACAGAGGTTAGTAGACGTCAATATTAATTTACCGTTTTTTGGAACTACCATACGTAATCCGATGACAAACCGTTAAACATGCCACAGATATTTGGAGTTTGAAAATGATTTAACCAGTAACACTTTCTTATGTGAATCTTGCCCACCAAGTGAAATCAAAAGACAGAAGCGAGGAGGTTCGAAGATATATATGATAGACTATCAACATGCCGAGGATCGACTGATCTGATCTGGCTAGCGATTGCAGGGGACGTTCAGCACGGCCTTCCACTTGTGATCTGGTGCGGACGAGTGACGGAGCGCCCTCAGCTAGGTGAGTCCGTCAAAACTAATGTGGTCAGCATCCAATGTCGAAGACTTGCAGAACTATTTATTTCGGGAATTTATTTACCGCCACAGATCTCCCCCTCTAGTGGGATAGTGATGACCCTAGGACGTGGCCAGTCAGAAGTTTAAACCCAACGAGATTGTCGTTGGAAGACACTCTTCTGATAGCTTGCAAGGTCTAGCATTTTCCTGCCATGTAATACATATAGTAGAAATTAGCAATAAATTTTCGACTCATCGTAAACTTCGTCGTACTTTTTCTTTTTTTCCAACCGTCCTGGAAAATAAACTAATATGTAAGTGCATGTCGAAATACACTCTTACGTGCGATAAAACACAAAGCGGGCTAAAAAGAGGAAAATAAATTCACGTGATAGCTTAAAAAAGGATTTTTACGAAATAATTTTTTGGTTTTTTCGAAATAAAATTATGAATATGTAAGCCCAATAAAATTGATTTTTTACTTATACATATTACGAAAGAAAATCGATATGATATAAAATGTCAACTAGTATCTTACGTGCAATAATCGTTCAAATATTTTGGAAATCTTAGTCTTCTTCCAGAACGCGTTATTTTAAGTTTATTTTCTGATACTGCTGAAGTATCCTCGTGCGTATTGGTTGTCGAGTGAGGTATTGTAAGTTCAGGAGCCGTGTCGTTCGATTGTACCGAGGGAGAATCGACGTGAATAGAATTTCCATCTAAAAATGCTGCTTTTGAGGCGATCGATGCTGATGCTATCGTTGGTAACGTTCTTATCGATTATACAACACTTAGGTTCGCGCTGAAGTACTTTGAAGTGTCTTTCGTATGCTGAGTCAAAAGGTCGTCGATATGAGTCTCGACGAACGAAAACGTGCGTACTATATTGTAAGTCAGGCTGAACGAAAACATCAGTTTATTGTGGTCGAGTGGAAACAGGTTTAACTGAACGCATTGCGTTTGTAAGCCTGTTCGTGTAGGAGGTTAGATCCATGTTCACTGAAAAAGATGAAGGATCCACGAATTCTCCTGGAAATCGAAGTGTCGAAACGAACGTCGGGAGTTTTAAATGAACCTAAGGGACATTTGTTGTGTCTAATAACCTCGGATTTCTGGCAGCTTACACAGAAGTGTGCCCACTTCCTCACGTCTTTATTCATTCCAGGCCAGTAAAATCGTTCTGCTATGAGTTTGATTGTTGCACGAACACCTGGATGAGAAAGTTTGTGTAACGTATTGAAGAAGTTGCGTCGATAATGTTTCAGCCCTATTGGGCGATCCCTACCTGTGAATGTGTCACAAAGTAAGGTTTCCTTACCTGTTCCATCTGTTTGATGTTCAGTTTAAGGGTTGTAGACGATAACTCGTGCTGAAGATTAGTGTCTTCTTTTGAAGCTGGGCGAGTTTAAGAAGGTCGATTCCTTGGAAACTGTTCAAGGAAGTTATGCGAGATAAGGCGTCTGCAACTACATTGTTTGCTCTAGAGATGTGTTGAATATCTGAAGCAAACTGCGAAATATAGTCCAGTTGTCGAGACTCACGAGGTGAATACCTATCTGAGGGAAAGGTTAAAGAGAAGGTGAGCGGTTTATGGTCAGTGAAAAGGGTAAATTCACAGCCTTTGATATAGTGTTGAAAATGCCGTACAGCACAATACATAGCTAGGAGTTCCCCACCAAAAGCGCTATACCTCAATTCAGTGTCTAGCAACCGTCTAGAGAAAAATGTCAAAAGTCGCGAGGAGTGGTTAATCCATTGTTGTAAGATTCCTCCGATTGCTGAGTCGGATGTGCCTAGTGCGATACTAATGGGTGCTTCAGTGTCCTGATGTGCAGGCATTGTTGTTTGGGCGATAAGTTCCTTAACTGTGGAAAATGCTTTTCGCGCGGAATCGTCCGAATCAATGGATTTTACATCTCCATGAAGCTGGTCAATTAGAGCTTATATAAGGGATGCGCAGTTTGGTATAAACGTCTATAGAAACTTACAAGGCCGTTAAATGTGCGTAGTTGTTTAATGGTGATCGGTTCTGGATAATCCAGAATGGCCGCCACTTTGCCTCTTAGAGGTCGGATGCCTTGCGCAACCATAGTGTGTCCTAGAAAATCTAAGGAGCTGGTTCCGACTTGGCATTTCTGAATATTTACAGTAATGCTATGCTTTTGAAGCCGTTCGAAAAGAAGACCCAGATGCTGCAGATGCGATTCTCTGTCCGGACCTGCTATCAAGCAGTCAGTAACATACGGATGAACAAAGTTGAGTCCGTGATAAACGTCGTCTATGAACATTTGGAATGTTTGGGCAGCATTTTTTAGGCCGAACGCATACGCAAAAATTCGTAAACACCAAAAGGAGTAATGATAGCGGTTTTTGGAATGTCGCCAGTGGCCATGGAAATTTGTTTATCGAGATAATCATCTGCTGGAAAAGTAGACCAAGAATGCGAACAATTTAAAATAAATGAAATTACAGCAGACCAATTTAAATGTTTTATTTCTATATGTGGTTTAAATAATCCAGAAGATGCCAATATCCGTACCAGGATTTTAGTACGTACTAAGCGGGAACCGAATATGACCCCACAAATGGTCACAGCCGAGTGTCAGCGGTTGTTAAATCTCAAGCATCATACTGATTTGGTGCAACAAGAGGCTGAATTTTCTGATTTCGGTTCAATAAATGCGATCAGGTCCTC